CTCCCCTCACACGAGGAACATTCCGCTAGTTTATTCGACGTTGTTTTGATACCGCGGTCGCGAGAATCAAAGTGTTCTTAATGCGTAATTAACGTACTTATTACATAAAATATAGCGCAGGCACGTCACTTTCACCGTAATAGCTCCGCTGTAAAGAGACATAACTTATTAATTAAGGAACCCCCCCTCCCGGTAACCACAATAACACACCTCTGTATGTGTGCGCGACTGCAATGCGCGTGTGTACGTGTGTGTGTGAGTGTGCATGCGCGAGCGAGTTTTGCGAATATACGGGTAGCAGCAGCCTTCCACCGAATCGTGGTCGGTGCCACGATTTTGACGAAAGGAGCGTGGGACGTCCCACGTGTGTGGTGTGTGTCGCGTCGTTTCCTGAATATTGTATATTGTATATTGATGTAAAATCAAAGCGCATTACCTTGCCGCCTTTATATTTAATATACGCGTTTTAATCGTTTTAAGGTAATAAATAAAAAAAAAAAAAGAGTATTTGTTCATACAAACGCCTCGCGTTTCTCTCTCGCTCTTTCGCCTCCCGCGTCTTTCTTTCCCCGCCCAGTCCTCCAGCTAGGCGACGCTGACTCGGCGAATTGCAAATCTCATTAAATGTATATATACCTGGTGCTCCGTACGGATTCATTTTTATATGTTTTCCTGCGTGTCATTGATGATGACTCATATGCAGACGCGACGCAGTTTTCAGATCCGCTATCGCTATACTAGAAGCACTACTGGCTTACAATTAGATCGATAAGTTTGAGATAATTATCGTAATTTCTTTCAATTGTAATCATAATTATGTTTTACAGATAACTCCGGTTATAATTACTTTTTAAACACTTACTAATTTACACGACTTGAGGATCGAAATCTGACATATATACGTACGTTTCCAACTTTTTGTATAGATGTATTTTATGTAGGAGAGTATATTTTAATATGTATTTTATGTATTATTATTTTAACATGTGCATAATATGAGATATATTATTTATATAATATACACACGTGTAACATAAATTTTATCTTGGCGTGTATTGTTGACTTCGATTCTTTTTCGTACTTTACACATAAATAAAATAGTCTCTTGAATTTTAACACTCTGAATATAGATCGTTTAAAGCGAACCTAATGTCACTTTATTAAGATCATTATTGAACGTGATATTAATTCATCGTGATATATTATATCTGTTATTGTGATATCCGCCGTGTTATCCATCGAGAAGATTTGCAAACGTGACTACGTAGTTCGACCTTAGAATCCTAGAGGGCCTAGACGACCGTTTATAAATCTAACCTAAGAGACAGTCCGGACGGTCGCACTCAGTGAACTCAGTCCCTTTCCGGCAACGGCGTGTATTTGTCGAATTACAGATGATTAAAAATGTGTTTTTAGCCAAATAGCGTGAGATATTCGACAATTCGATGGTTTTTAATTTAAGTTACTTTGACGCTGATGCGGTGACGAGTGTCGAACATGTTTCAACGATGTTGTTCGCTCGTGTCGACGAGGCGACCGGCCGCGACGAGCTTGATCGCGCGATTTATCTCGAGAGGCGACGGGCCGAGGCGATGCGCGTCGAGAGAGCTCGAGAAATGCGCCGACAGAGCCTCCTCCGAATCGGGTGTCTTGGAGGAGCGGCTGACGGCCGACGACGAGAGCCACGCGCTGGAACCGCGACCTAACCTCAACTTGAGCCCGGGTCCAAACAGTGTTGTAAACACGACTCCGTTCGCGCGCGAGGACTATCTCGACGACCGTGACATAGAGGACTTGCCGCATGCCCTGGACGAGTGCACCGAGGACCTGTCGTACGTCGGTCCGCCCCTCACTCCGACCTTCAGCTTCGCCAAGTACGCGAACAAGTCGCGCACGATCCAGAAGCTGGTGGAGCTCGGGGTCCAGCTGTACAAGTTCGAGGCGAAGGAGGGGATGGTGCAGTACATCCTGAACCTTGACTTCGAACGGGACGTGAAGCCGTACATAACGTTCCTGCACGACTGCGGAGTGCCCGCCGATTACCTGGGCGAGTTCATCACGAAGAATCCCGAAATCTTCAAGGAGGACCTGGACGATCTGCACACGAGGATAAGATACCTGAGGGCGCACGAGTTCACCGTGCCGATGATACAGATCATAATCTGCAAGAATCCCAAGTGGCTCCTGTACAGTACGAAGGATATAGACCGCAGACTCGGCTACTTCCAGAACAGCTTCATGCTCAACGGCCACGAGGTGAGAATGCTGACGGTCAAGGGGCCCAAGGTGGTGACGTACAGGATGATACATTTGCTGGAGAACACGTTCAGCGTCAAGGAGGAGATGGGTTTCGATCGGCTGCAAATGAAGAGATTGCTCCTCACGTTGCCCAAGATATGGACCAAGAGTAAGCAACACACGCAGGCGACGTAATTTCATGATTCGGTGAACAAATTTATATTGATTTCTCTTAAATTGTCCTTTCAGATCGCGACAGACTGCTGGGTACATTCGATTACGCTCATAACGAAATGCAGCTGCAGCGTGATTTTATTGCGCGGATGCCGCACGTTTTACTTTGTAGAAAAACTAGGCTCGAGCAGAGGCATTTGTTCCTGACGAAGATAAAAAAGGCACAGTACGATCCCTCCAAACCGATGTACGTTTCACCGCGAGCCTTAGTCAGCGGTACAGACGCCGAGTTCTGTAGAGATATCGCGAAGACGTCTACGGACATTTACAATGCGTTTCTGAAAACGTTTTAATTGTGTTATAGATGTAAATAAATGAATTAATACATCTTTTCGAATTATTTTCGGTAGCAATGTTCCTGTTTCCATGAGACCTCAATAGGCTCTTATATATTTTGCTGATTTTTATGTACATCACGTATAAATAGGTTTTCTTTACATCGCATTTGTTAAAACTAAGATTATCATTCTTTAAATAACAAAAAAAAGTAAAGAAGTATTATAGATAACGCATACGCCACTATTGATAAGTTATGTATGATTTTTCTTTTTTATAAGAAAAAAAAAAACAATGTAAGATATTCGCAGTTGCGCTTATAACGCTAAGTATCGTCGGTCAATATATTTGCAATACTTATATAAACGCGAGATGAAAACAGTCTTACCCAGGTAAAAGTCGCGCGATGCAAGTCCAGAAAATTTGGCCTCCAATGGAAAATCGGGTATTTTTAATATATTTTTTTTTATCAATCGGATTATTATTATTATTCGCCTAAGGCCGTGTCGCGTCAACGATTAACACCAATCCATTTTCAGCGATCATCCACCTCGCTTTTTTTTGGAGAAGATACGTCACCGATACGGTCGATCTTAACGCGAGAGAAGAACAGAATTAGGATCGGCGATAATCAATGCTGCTGGCATCCAGGCCCAAAGTGTATTTAATTGTACTTCCCTAACTCAATCTTCCTCTGTATCGCACGCACCGAATGATAGAGCAGCGAATCGATCAGACCGGCCACGGTGAATACGCCGCCGATGATCGCGCAAGTGTTCGTCGCGAAGTGCCCGAACGACTTCGCCTTCTCCGTGTACTTCACCATGAGCGGGCTCAGCTCGTAGTTGAAGAATATACCCGGCATCCCGGACTCGCCGCTGAGCAGGGACACCTGCTTCGCGTGCCGCGTTACGGAAAACTGATTCGTGAGGAGGGTCGAGCCGTCCGTGCGGACGTACGTCGTCGGGACGATCTTGATGTAATGATAAAACATCATAGCGCCTGAAAAGCAAAACGAACAGCATCATATATATTGATAGAAAAACTTGTAAAGTCTGATTCGAAATAGCCACATCTTTCCAATTAAAGCCGCGTTCGCTTCGGACATTCACGCGCTGTCATTTTATCTTCATCGCTCATTATATGCGAAAGGAAAATAGAATGAAGCTTATAGAGTGCCCGAAGTGAACGCAGTCTAAATATACGTTTATATGTGTTTAAATTTGCGTTGGGTAAATTATGAGAGGGACTTGTAAGAGAATTCGTTGGCGGATTTAAATCCCTAATTTTCGAAGGAAACGATTTAAAAGTTTTTTAATTCATTGATGAAAGCGAGTTCTCATAATTATTAAAATGCTACCCTCTAAAAGGATAAGATTTCAATTGCCTTTATTCTACGAATGGTAGAAATACATTCCTTAATTTTTTTTGAGAAAATTTAATTTTTCTAACAATAAGTTAAAAATAAAAAACAACTTGTACACATAAATTTCAACGACAAACAATTGGAATTTCCCGCCACGAATGACGACACAGACGAAACGGAAATAGCAGACGGCGCAACCGTCTTTTCGCTCACGTTGCGAAACCGTCATGGCGCCTTCCCGATATCGCGATACAAGTGCAATGAGTTAAGAGGCTCCGGCGATTGCACCAAGATCGCGATCAAGTTCCAAAATTGAAAAGTAAGAATAAAATCATCCCCGATCAGCCGCGCGCGCCGCAAGATTACGTAACGGACACACCTTAACAGTAAGTGCGTGCGTAATTCATCCCGTATGTATGTGTCAATATATAAACATCATAAAAACATTTAATTCCATTCAAAATTTGGAGAATTTTTCTACTTGTCATGAATGAAAAACTTGCAAAGCTATTCAAGAAGAGTGGATTCAAGTTTATCAAGTTGCCTCTCGACCTCGGAGAAATTATGACTTAAAATCAGAAAAAAAAAGTTTATGCAAACAAACACTGAAACTACAATTGTTTTACAGGCCGCAAGATGCCCGTGGTACCCGGAGGAGCCTATCAACAAGGACCCTCTTGCTTCGATAGAATGAAATTAGGCTTCACAATTGGATTTTGCGTGGGGATGGCCTCCGGTGCGCTCTTCGGAGGATTTTCCGCTCTTAGGTATTTAAATAACGCAAATAACAATAATATATAACAATTAATGTATAGGAATTGAAATCCGGTAGATATGCATTATTTGAGTATGCATAATCACAAAACTTTCTTTTTCAGATATGGACTGAGAGGAAGGGAATTGCTAAACAGCGTCGGCAAGGTGATGCTTCAGGGTGGCGGCACATTCGGAACGTTTATGGCTATCGGCACGGGGATACGATGCTAGTGCGTGGGCGGAGCTACGTTACGGAGTATCTCGCAGCCCCTCTTTTTTTTCTGTTGCAACTGTTTGTATTGTAAGCGCGAGTCACTAAGTCTTTAATAAAAGTAGCATTAAGGAGTAAGGACATTACCTTCCATGGCGACTACAGTCATGCCATCCATAGGATTCGTTTTCCCCGGGATGTTGAGCCCGAAACTCAAGTGTCTGATATTGTGCGTCATATTGAAGTGGGACGAAGTGTAAGGTTGAACGTCGTGCACTGCGGCATCAAAAGAACGAGCCTCGTGAGACACAGGAAATATTAAGAGAATTCGAGCCTCTCGTTATATAGCTCACCATGAACGTGATTGACCGAGAAACTGACGCCTGGCGCGATGTGAAAACTACCACCGACTCTATTCACTTCCATGTAGCCATAGATTTGACAGCCTTGCGTGAAGGCATGCTTGAGTTTCTCCATGGACTTGTCATTCTGACACTGCTTGATGTTAGCCGGATCCGGCGGAGCCCACTTTTTGCGTCTATAGGCCTCCCACACGTCCTCGCAGGTATTGCAACATCTGCGGACAAAGCAAAATTTTATAGAATGTGTTCAATAGATTTCACATCTTATTGTTAATGTACAAGTAGGATCCTTACTTTATAGTGTCCGTGGCTGCCCCGTAGCAGTCTCCACAGGCCTCTGTGGTGGAGCCGATCTCCACTGGCTGTAAAAATGTTTTTTATCCAATAATAATCAATTTGCAAACGGGACATTTCAGTCGGAAGATACCTATAGAAATCCTGCGTTACCTTCTCTGTAGTCTTACTGACGGCCTTTGCGTCTGTAATATCTGCAATAAAAGTTTTTTTTTTTTTTTCTTTACATGGCACTTCTTAGTTGACATTGCGTATATCGACAAGAGCATTGCTTACTTGTTCTTTGTGGATCCTCTATGGGTTTGCCATTTAGGTCTAACCGTCTCTTAAAAATATTGTGCTCTATGTGCAAATGCTGCTCGCCCGTCGTGTCCATAGCGTCTATCGACAAAACTGCAAAATACTGAAATGACAGAGACTGATATCGCCTCCTTCTTCGCCTAAGTAACCGGAATGCAATTTGTACTTACGATCGCAAGATATAGCGGGGACTATTATATCCAAGTTGATTCTCAGTTTAGAACCCCTGGATGTATCTACAAATAATTCCTCGCTCATAGTTGGTGTAAGATAATAGTTTACCTCTGACAAAAACAGTATGCCCATGATGATTGTACTAATGATTGTAACTGAAAAGGCATCATTTCGTCATTTGCATTGTTGTAACATAAGAGGTCGACGATTCTTATCAATCATAAGTACGTCAAAAATTACGCTTTATTTACTACCCGTCAAGTGGTAAACAAACGGTCCTTATCACAAACGTCAAGAAACGCACGTGGAAAAGCAAAACAAAGCAATCACGAGCATTTACGCGAGTATCACGGCACGCGTTCAGGTGTCGGATGTCAATCCAGATAAAATATTTTAATGAAATATTTCACGTATTTAACTATTTTAATATTGCACGTTGACAGAGGAGAATTCTAGGTTAATCGCTCGCCGGCACCACTTCGCGCCTCGCACCGATCAACGCTGTTCAGCGCAACGGAACGTAAACGACACGCTCGGTCCTCGTGGCGATTCTCCGGGTCTCTCGTCCTCGCCGACGACGGACGGTCATCGTCGTCGTCGTCGCCCGCGGTAATCGCGACAGCGCGACAGTATACACTGTGCTTACCGATGGCGCCGCTGAAGGTCCTCACGAGGATATCGGCCTCCTCGCGCACCTTCGGGTGCACGTCCAGCTGCCGTAGCATCTGCATCTTCCCGGCGACGACGGCGTGGGGACGGTACGCGGCGATCACTCCTCACGGCGGCCCGATGTTTTCCCGCACGACACGTACGTGTCATGACAAGCCAACCTGCCACCTTGAAACGTGGCAGACAGCACGCTGCCATTGGCCGACCGGCTCGATAGCTCCGGCCCTTCTCGCACATGTCGACTGCACTCGTAAAGAAGACGGACATATATCCGCACGTCGGAGGGAGAAAAAAGAGCGAGGGATCCGAGCACAAATGGTGTAAGTAAAAGAAAAACCGGCCTTACAAATTTTATAATTCACAAATCATTATTTTTACGCTGGGAAACATTACCGCTTTCGGTATCTCGTGTTACGTTTCTTTCTCCATTTACTTAATTTATTCTCGATTTGATAACGCGTTATTTTTTTTTTATTTCAATCACGAGGAATTTCTATAAAATTTGTAATTAAATTTTTAAATTTAGATTAGGCTTTACAAATAAAAAATAGATTTTTATTTTTTTATAGTCATAAAAGAAATAAGATAAGCGCTATAGGTGCTGTTTATAAAAGTACGCATAATAATATTTGAGATAATAAAATTATAAAGAACCTCTCTTCCTGTATTCCTTTAAATAAATAAGATGTTATTTATAAAAGAGATTAACTCCCCTGAGATTTTTATTTTCTTTTGTGTTTTAATTTTTATACATGTATGTGAGAAAAATCTGATACAGATGTAGCATCATTAAAGAAAAGAAAAAGAGAGTATAATACACGTGTATAAAATGCTTACCTAATTACATATTTTTCGATCTACAATGAAGATAAAAAATATATTAATTCCTTATATTTATCGTTAGTAACACTTTCGGTTAACGTCCTTTCGCAGAGCCCTGAAAAAGGAGCGAGGACAGGAGTATAGACACTGAAATAATAATCCATTCGTTGTACGATTCTAATTCGTAACAAATGCTCGATAAACTTTATTCCACATCGTGCATCACGTTGCTCTTCGGGACAGGTGTCTCGATTTAATATACAGATATATATATATATATTTTTTTTTCTAGTCGTTATGTATGTATCTGTACAAAGCGATCTATTTTTAATCTACAAATGGATGTATTTTTTTTCTTCGGAAGAGGTACGTTCGAGTGAAAAATTCGAATATATGTGATGTGTACGTGCGGGATGCGTATGCGTGTATATCCGTCGGAGACGGCTTAGAAAAGGCGCATTATTAGTTTTGTCCACCATGAAACCCGAATGCAAGACTGGTCTGTCGAATCGACATAGTAGGTCTTCGCGTCAACCCAATTTCGTATAGGCTTCGCGTTATTTAAGGCACTCCATGCCAGGAATATTTTTACTTTAGCGTGCACGAACAGCAAAATGAGACACGAAACAGAATTATTCACGAGGAAGGTGTGTAGCGAAGTCGAACAGGTAAATGATAGTACGTGCGCGCGTATACGCGCGGTTATTCGTTAAGCCTAAATTAAAAGTACACTAAAATTAACTGGACGGCGGTCTAACACATCAATCGACCCGTTTCTACTAATACAGTCGTTGTCGAGATTGGCAGTAAAAAATGCAGCGAGTGATACGACTTTCTTCGTTGTAAAAAAGCATCCTTTTTCTTCGTTTTTGACTAATTAGTCTCCTCTATCATTATCATTTATGCCAAATGGTTGAGAAGTCTCGCGATTCTTTGTACATTACGATTTTGACGTAATACACATAGTAATGTGCGAAACAAGAAAATTCGATGAGATTTCGTACGCAGAACGGGTCGTTTGGAAATCTATAACGAATTCTAAACGTAAACGCTGTATTTTAATTATAATTAAACGGCAACAATGAGATTCTCGATCGCGCCCGTTTACGCGACAACGTCGATATAACGCTTCACGCGGCGTGAGATATTCGTAGCATTCTTTGTACTCTGATTACACGTGCCTTGCGTTTTTTTCTCCTAGCCGCGCGACAAACGAAGCCTGATTTTGAATATTCCACTTCCCGTAGTGTAATTTTACAGTTTTCGTACGTGACGTTTATAGGCAGTAATAAAAAAACTTTCATTCGCGCGTTAAAAGTTCGAAGAAGGCCTCTCGCCAGCCTCTGACTCTTGATTTTCGAATCTTCCGATATCATATTCTGCCTTCGGAGATCAATTAGTAAATCCAATTGACCGGCACCCACTGATGCTCCGTGGCTAAGGAATCCAAAGCTGCGATCACCTGCCTGAATGTATTATCAAAGTCCTCGTTCACGATCACCTGGTCGATGTACTTCTCGTAGGCTCTCTGCAGGGCCGCAGATTCCTCCACCGTGGATTTCAGATCGTCCTCCTACGAGATAGATTGTCAATTAATCTCTTGTTCTTTCGATACCTTATTACGTAAAGTATTTTTTTCTAAGATGATGCTTTGTACGATGGTTCACAATAAAAGCGGTGTGATAGATGCACTTTAGACGGGATCACGAACGTAACTTGGTTCTTTTAATTACGGTCGTAGAAAGGTTTTTACAAAAATATTTGATTAATATAAGGACGCGAACTTGCCAAGAGAAAGTTCACATTTTCGTGGCTCCCGTGACTAAGCATTAAAGAATTTTATTCTATGAACCAAAATGTAGAAATATTGTGCAATAAAATATAATTAAAAATCGATGGGGGGGAGGGGGCTACTAATAATCTTCTGACATTCCGGATTACTGTAAATACGTGCTGCACAATAAAACAATACGAGTCATGCGATACAAACCTCGTACAAAGATGCGAGGGATTCCAGTGTCCTGGCTCTTCTCGAGCTGTACCTGATGGAACTCTGGCGGTCGAACTAGCGAAGCCAACATCAAATTTATACAACGAATTAACTAAAGTGATGGAATAAAAATGAAATAAATGACGAAATAAACAAGTTGTCGCATATAGATTGCTAGCATTACGTGGAGTCGATAGGAGGAGCTCTAAAGAGTATAGGAAATTTAACAGAAGACGTAGGGAAAGACGATTTTTATAAAAAAATATATATAGAAACGAAGTGAAAGAATAAGAATACCGTTAGATTTCGATTGCTGGCGCCAGTCGATCTCCCGAGATCGTATAAAGACTTCAGCTGCTCCATCCCGGGCGCGGCGATGAATATGACATAAGGCATGAACTCCGTGCTGTTATGAAGGATCTTGAGAGCAGACGGACTGCAGTCTAGCACGCACATCTTGCCGGCTCTTATCAGTTCCCGCACCGAGTCCAGTTTCGTGCCATACAGGTGCCCGCCGTGTTCACCGTGCTCCAGGAATCTATGTTCCCTGATGTCGGTCTCCATGGACTCGCGATCGGTGAACCAGTAACTCTTGCCGTCCTCTTCGAGGACTCTGGGCGGTCTCGATGTGACTGTGAAGATATTTCAGATTCATATTCGTTCATACAATAATCAAGTTACTCGCATCGATTGATAAAACACAGATTAATCGAATATTTCTTACAGGGTACGATAGTGCCAAACTTGTCGGGATCGCTGTTGATCAGCCTGTTCTTCAGAGTTCGACGACCTACGCCACGTGGTCCGACGAGAGCCAAGGTTTTACGTCGAAACGGCGGCATCCGAGCGACTTCCTCGTAGAGGAGCAACTCGGCACCATCGAACTCGCCGTTCGACTTGGACTGATACATCTTTCTCTTCTTCTTCTTGGATATCCTGGTACCGCAGATGCTGATCTTGTGAACGAAGTCAGCCTCAGGCGGCACGAACGCCTTTCTGCGCTCTTCCAGCTCCAGCGAGGGTATCAGCCCGGGCGATCCGAGGCTCTCGCCCTCCACTCTTCGCGCCTGCCACCAGTTCGGGTCGACCTGGTCGACGATCTGGAGGATGTCGCCCTTTTGGAAAGCCAGACCGATTTCCCGGCAGGGTAGAATCGTGTCCTCCGAAGGATCGTAATCGAAGAGAGCCCTCATGTAACACTGCAACGACAAATCAAATCATATAGGCGGCTCGACGAATTACTATGAATTTTCATTGCTCTACGATTACGACGCCGAGACGTGTTCTCCGCGCTCGAACGAGCACCGTATGAGCAAGGAGAATGGGAACATAGCTGTTACCAGAGGCATCGAGATGGAAAAACAGTCCGTGTAACACTCACCGTGGACTTGAGAGGTCGGTTCGAGTCCGAGGCGATACCTGGAGCCAGTTTCAGGGACAGATTCTCCTTGGCGTCCTGAATCGCTAGCTGGAGCTCCTCAGGATTTCGAACTCTCTTGCCGTTGACCTCGAGTATCACCTCGCCGGTCCTCAGAAGCTCTTGACGAGCCGCCGTGCTGCCACCAAGGATCCTGGCGATGATCATATTCCCAGCTTCATCGACCTGCACCGTCAGACCCTGGAAAAAAATACGTACATAAAAAAAAATAAACTTCTCGCCCTTATCCAGTTATCGAATTAAAGCGCATTTCGCTTGTGACATTCGAGTCTTCTCGATGTAATAAAACCTTAAGTGGCGACGCTGAATGAAAATTGCTAGTCATATTTTGGCTGGAGAATCTTAAAGAAGCGCGCAGTACCAGAAAATCGCCGAAACACGTGGCATGCCGGAGAAATAAACGTTCGTACTTATTTACGAACTGCAAGTAGCATCTTCGTCTTTTCTTCGAGCGAATCTGGTGGGCTAATTCGCGAGTGGGGAGCCTCTCTCGCGATAAACTTTTCAATCTCGCTTTAGATAATTCTAAACTTAGTTTCCCACGTGTATCGAATATTTTTCTTAAGTATTTAAAGCTGTAATTATGCTGTTTTTAAATTTAATCGAAAGAATGAGAAAAAATCTTTGAACAGACTGCCGAAACTACAATTAATAGACTATCTTTTCTCAAATATTAAATGATGCAATTTTCATTTATCAATTTTTATTTATCTTGCCACAGAATTATTTTTACAATTACGTTACCAGTCCAGTCTGGACTTACCAGGGGCTCATCTGGTTGCCTCCGAAGGCCGACCACCCTAATAGGCATTTCCTCCTTCTTGTTCGTCGGCATCGTCAACGCGGGCGGATCGGACGATTCGGAGGACGCTTCTCTGCGCTCTACGATCGCGTCGTGCGTCTCCAGGAGCGCTCTCAGATGCGCGTTGCCGAGAAGATTCACCAGCTCCCTGGCGTGCGAATCCCTGGAGGCCCGGAAGGCGTGGCACACCTCGTCGACGATGTCACAGACGGACGAGCATACCGGCTCCACGGGCACCGGCGGATCCTCGAGACGCTCCTGCACCTGACACGCAGACAAAAAGAGAGAGGACTTCAAATCTGGACCTGGTTAAAAACTGGTTTCTCACGGACCTTAGAGATGATTCCTATACGCAACCCTATCTGCCTCACGCTGACACGCGTCGCTGATAATTTCAAACCGTGGTAACGTTTCTTTGCTATTGTGACGATTAACGCTTTCGTGATTTTATTTCTTTTCTTTACCATTTATATACTCTGTTTCACACTGCCTGTTGATTCGCTTGTTTCATATTCTTTAATCCGCAAAACTATAGTAATAATTTATCTATTTATTTAGTAGCTCTTGTTGTTTATCATAAAAAAATCATAAAAGAACCACTCGTGTTAAGTTCACTATGAGATAGCACGCGGTACTTCAATCTATTTTTTTTTTCTATTAATCAGAAAGAAAGATATCAAGAGGAGAAAGTACAAGCCGCGTTGAACCAGACTTTCTTTGAAATCAATCTTGACCATTTTCGTTTGAGAAGGAAAACATTTCTTGAAATGTATAATTGAGGATTGAAGAGCTGTAGAATTTACAAATTGCGAGACACATTAGAAAAAATCCGGCTAACGTACGTGATAATGATTAGTGACATGCAATGTGGTGCGAATACTAACGGCGTTCAATCGGATTAGAGTTAATCTAATCGACACGAAAGACATTTAAGTTTCACCCTACCCGGAGCGGTTCAGAGTTTACAATGAACGAGTAATTGAGAAAGTAGGTCATTCCGGCACGTTCGATGACGCGTTTGAGACGGCACATTTCTGAATATTCAGACAATCTTAATGAGCTGACTTAATAAATACAGCTTTAATGCATTGTTTTTTTTTAATATTACGACGAGATTTAAGAAGAGAAATTTACGTAAAAATGACGCAAGAAGCTTACAATTCCTTGCCATAAAAATTGCACCTATAACGAAACCAATGAAAACGAGAGTTAAGATTCACATGTAGCGAGACTCACATATAACGACTTTACTGCGCTAATGATGATGATGATGATGATATAAAAATAAACGAAAACGCGTTTAATGTAAACTCGTAAACCTTTTTTAGATCACTGTGCGATTATCGTGCACGTGACGAATAAACCGATGATTCACCGTTAAATTATTTCCTCTCGAGATTCGCGAAACTCCAACGATCATTACACACGCGCGCTTTACCGATCAGACGTGAGAGTTTCCTCATCGTACGTGCCTCTCGCGAGGCGCGTTGCGAAATCGGCGCATTGCCGAACAATTTCTCTCAACGCGATTAACGGACTGGCGAGGAGCGGCGACGTTCCTCCGGAAATCTTTCGACGTCAGATTTCCTGTGTTTGTTCGACTTGTTTACTCAACGAGCGCGCCCACGTGCTCCGCGAAGTTCAAACGCGAAAATCCGTCTAAATCGATGTCTGTACGTCGAGGATTTATCGGCGCACTTCGTCGCGGCTCATCAAGTCGGACGCGGTCGTTTTCCCATTCCCGTTTACTGCGAACGGACTTTCGCGCACCGAGCGTTGTATCCGTATGATTCGCGTCAGGAGGGACGCGAGATTTACCGGAGACTGCGTCCGAAGGCGCGCCGCACGCCGCACTTGTGTTTATGGACTGTAAAGCCGCGGCATTTATTTATCCGCTTCGCTGCAGAGATCCTTTGCGAGACGAATCGCTCGGAACCCGTTCCTCTCCGCGAGGGAGCGGCTCCGGGAGATCTGCGAACGATCTCCGCAAAAAAGCCGCACCTCGCCACGCGCGATCGCGGCAAGAACGATCGGCGAAGTTATGCAGGCAAGGCGAGCGAGTCCCGTCTCGTTTCTCTTCCGAATATCATCAGACGAGTCGACTCCGCGCATCGAACGCAGACTCTACGTTTTTTTCCCCGACATTCTTTCTATCAGATTTATCTCGGTCCTATGACCTATGCCCACTGATGAAGCCATACGGTCCTAAACTCTCGGCCACCCCGTCGTTATCTCACACCCAAATCCTACCCCGATCGCGCCATTAACGGTACTTTCGTGTTTCTTGAATCGCACAGTCCTCTCCAAACTACGGCTACGTTCCACTCGTGGACGCGGAGCAACGCGAAATTGAAGAAGATGATGATGATGATGACAATCTTCCGCCCACTTATATAGGCAGACGTCTCTTTCGCGAACTATATATGCTTCCCGCGTTCCTCGGGAATGACGCCCTCACCTGGAGAAAGACTCGCGACGCGGTGCTCCGTGCGAACTGGTGAAGCTAACCGACTTTAACTGGTCGTGGTCGGTGCCCTCGCGGTGGTATCGATCGGCGAGGGAGAGCCCGGCTCTCGAACGGAGGGAAACCAGATCTGTCGCACACACAGGGCGGCAGAAGCGACCACGCAGGGTGCTAACGAGGGTGGTGCTCGGGTGATTCGTTAACGTCGCGCGACACTCTCTCGCATAAGCAGCAAGTCAGAAAACTCTGCCGCGCCTACTGACGTCGTCTGGCCTCCCTCCGCGTAGGCAGCCCGTTCAGGCGAGTCGCCTGCCGTTTCTGAAACAGGTGGGGGCCCTTCCTTCTCCTGGCATGCAATACTCCGCTACGTTCGCTCCAGGAGCGTAGCTCGTTCGTCTGAGTGCCACCTGTTTCAAGGTCGTCTCTAAAACGGAGCAGAATCGTACGTCTCTTTAGAGACACTCCAGGCACTCCGCCTCTCTCTCCCTCGAACACTTTGCATATTCCTTATGTTATCGCATTTATCGCGGTTTCCTCGTTTACACCTGAGCTTGCAAATTACGATTCTATCAAAGTTAGGTCTACCTCAAACGAAAAATATGACAGCAGTTGACGCGATCATGAGTGTGTTAGCTCATTGACTTATTATTAGCATGGTTTTATAATTCAGGCTTTCGAAGCTGGATACAAAGTCAAACTCTTTCAGTGAACGGAGGAATGTTTCGGAATTTGGAAATACACTGTAAAATTAACAACGTTCTTCTTTTTTTTCATTAACATAAAAAAACATGCCAAAGATGAATATGAAACGTCCGCATATCTATCGCTTTTAATTTAGAAAACGCTGTTGATACAAGTGAGAGTCATGTCGCTGTCACGTTTACGAGTCTTTACGAATGATTTGTAGAAGACAGCTGCGAAATAAAATCGATGCTGCTCTTTCATGTTTCTCGAAAGTGGTTTAAGACAAGTTTAGAAGCTCGCAATGAAGAACTTCCGTCGCGTCGTGGTGGCGTCGTACCAGTTACACTCGTTCCGATTGTTTGCTTTGCAAACGAAAGTATTCAGGTATTCAGGAAAGAACTTGTTCGGTGCGAACTAATCGCTCTAGATTATACAACAGGTGGAAAGAAAATATGTTTTTCGACCGAGACGTCTTTTGTAAAGACGCTTCAATTCTAAAAACCATACGCTCCCTTTGTCGCAGATAGAAACTGCGTGGTCATTTAACGATCGAGCACACTTGAACGCTCCATTATTAAATGTGCCACCGTTTTGAGGACTCGGCAGTTTTGTACGAGTCGAGTTGCAAACAATGTCAGAGCCGAGTGACGTAACAACTACGCGACCAACAACTGAACATGCAGCATCAGCGAAATCGGTATTCGCTCTTGTTTGCAACGAGAGAGCCGTCAAAAGTCATTCTGCGCACAAGTCGGAACGGCGAAGTTCGATTACTTGGGAAACTTCATCCGAGGTAAACGCGCGAGATAAAAAAGAAGTATAAACGCGTCCGATAAGACAGCCACGGTGGAGTCCAGCCAACGTACAGTCCTGTCACCCACACACGCGGACCGACACGCATACCGCGTGTGTGTGTCTCTCCCACTTCCTCCCGTGCGCGATCACAAAGCCGACTCACCGACTGAAATTACATATCGTCTCGTCATACACGCTACAGACTTACAAAACATGTTACCGTCGCGACACGCATGCTCGCGCCTGGATTTCTGCGACGTTGCACGAGCGATGACTCCAACTCGGAGAGGCGCCTATGACCTATGCCCAATCAAGAGGTCCCGCGAGGTCACAGTCAATTAACCGTAATTATTATTGCGGACAGAAAGATAGCAATTTCGCCAATTAAGCGACCGTAAATCTCAATCTCCCTCTCTCGCACCTCGCAGGCCTTCGCATGATATAATTTTTCCTATACGAGATGATGCAGCACGAGGTTACTCATCTACAGGTGATTATCGATAGTCTGGGTAAGTTTTGTTCTTTGCTCTCTCCTTCGCCGTTTCGTTGCTTAATATTCTAAAAAAATCATCCAATTATCCAGATCTCGATTGAACATCCTTTGGAAATTTCCGCGAGATTTTTCAATTTAGCTTTTCCGCGAAGGCACGGACGACTCGTCGCGGTCGTCAGCACCACTGTTGGCTCAATTCGGTGTAAAAGGCGGGAGACGTGAGCCGACTCTTTAACGGCTTCTTGACACCGGACGTTCTCTACCTGCTGTGATGCACACGTGTTCTCTACCTGCGTGCCTGGTAGAGAAAATTACCGGAATGTAGGTCCTTCGGACGAGGGGAAAACGCGCGTACGCGGTCGTTAGGGAGAATGAAAAGACTCTCGAATATGAAATATCGCTGAAAAAGGGGAAAATCCAATCAATCAAGAAGCCGAACAGTCAAAACGCACGCATCACGTAACGATATTTTTCTATAGCCCATCGCCGGTAATATTCTCGTCGAAGGCCATCTCTTCGCGGCTCTCCTCCCGCGATTCGCGGGAAGTGTGTCGCGACCGAAATAGCGTGGGTGTCGCGCGTTTCGAGCGTGTGATGCAGGCACGTGAAGGCGCGTAGAAAAAGAGAGAGAGAGAGAGAGAGAGAGAGAGAGAGAGAGAGAGGGAGGCGGAGGATGGGAAATAAAACTCACACTCTGGCACGCGCTTTAGGTTCCCGAAATTCCCTCTTTTTTTTCATGCTGAGTGACGAATGAGCCTCGGTCCTCCGCTCCGCCGCGCGACCCCGCGCCGGAGGAGAGCACGCAGCTCGACCAGATTCCAGCGAGGTGATACTATATCCGCTCTTCCTAAGCCAAACCGTAAACTACGTGCAAAACTTAATCTATTAAAATTTACGGTATCTCACATGCGTACCCAATTTATAAAAGCAATATTTAATCCAGGGAATATTATAAGAAATTTTTAGAATTAGTCAAATAAGTTTGAAATATATTGCATCGCGATGAAGATATTCTTCGGGCATAGTAAATAAACATATCGACTTAAATTTACGTATTGCCGTGTTGCGTTAAAGTGAGAGTACGGGCGATAAGTATAAACGATCGAAATGTTACTGTTCCACGGATCAGTTGTTGCCCCGCTCCTCGCGGAGGCTGCACAAACCTAGATTTCAAACTATATTTAGAAATTAGAGAACTGCACATTTTCTCTCTCTCTGTAGAATCGTGCAGTACACACCGCGCGTAGCCGCACACTAAAATATTCCCTGATTTAACCTGGGCTGGTTTATTTCGGTTGTGGTCGCGCGCGTTCGCCATTCTAAATGATCGATTCCATTAACGTGGCGAACACGTTCATGCTGCAGGACGGTTCAACGACACGGATTGTTCGGGCAGACGGCCAGAATACGCGCGCGAAAGTTTCGATTTTTTTTCTTTCATTCAGTGATATAACGAATCAGAGGAATACCGCGGCGGTAAGCGCCGCAGACAGATCCATGTCCCTCATAAATTTCCACGATCGTAGTAAACAGCGTTTGATGAGCACACGTACAGGCGTTCGAAGCCGTGCGCGCAATGTGTGCGGACCGAAATGATATCCACTCGCGCGTTTACGACCCGTTCACGCCGTGAATAAAATTGCGAATCGATATCGTTTCCCATTACAATTTCTCGTATCCAATGCCAAGCGATAAAAATAAAAAAATAGGAAATTAAAAGCAACAAGCACGAAACCTCATCCTTTAAGTGGCGTCACTACGATGAGATTTAAGACTTAAGATTTAAGAAAATTGACCAATCACAGTTGATTATTCTTCTTACGTGAGATGAATAATCGACTATTATGGTCAATTTTCTTAAATTTTACGTCTTAAGTCTCATTGTAGGCAACGTTTTAGAAAGAAGAAAAGCTCTCTTATTCAATCGAATAAGAGAACTGTGTATTCTTCTTTCGCGTTCTACGCGTTGAACAATCCAACACCGATAAAGTGCTTTTCGTGGCATTTCTTTTCGTATCTAATCTACCGGCGAAAGAACCGAAGAAATCAAAGAAGATTCAAGCTACTTCAGGTAATCTCGCGAGACGATCTGCCGGGCTGCAATTCAATTTCGAGATAAGGATCAACTCACCTTCACGAGGGACGTGACGACCGGGCTGTCGAGGAGGCCCTTCAGAAACAGCAGGTCCGTGTCGTCGGCGACTTTGCCCAGCTCCTCGATGTTGTCGCGCACGTGCATGAACGCGGCTGGAACAGTAACGACGCACTTGTTCATAATCAGCTGCGGATTCACCGGGGCCGGGGGCGGCGCGGCACATTGCCGCATGCGGCATGCGGCCGCGACGGGGTAGCGACAGTCGGGAGAAAGAGTAACAGAGGAGGAAGAGAGGCTGGATGAGGGTGAAGCGGGATGCCAACACGGGGGTCGCAGTGACGCGAGAGAGTGAGCCCGGGCGTGGCCATCTTTCGGCTTGATCAATATCGTCAGCTACAGGTGGCCGAAGCTGTCACGCGAGATCTCCCTCGACTCTCAACTTGAGTCCCGAGCAATTCTCTACGATTGTTTATCGCTTTCTTTTGACGAGCTGAAAAACGAGATGAAATGAAGATAAACGGAGAGAACTTTGAAATAAATTTATAAATAAACAATACGCGTGAATAATGTGAGAACTCAGAAGACTAGCTTCTGAAGGACATTTAGAACTGTCTGATCGATTCGATAAGCGCGATATCGGTGTTGGTTTCTTTTCCGTTACGAACAAATTTTGATCATATTCGTACGAGAAATTTTTTTTTCGAAAATTTAGGATAGCCTACACACAGTTGAAAAGAATAAATAATTATGTAACTTTTTTTGAAGGTTGAAAAATTAGATTGTTGTTGCTTTTAATGAATGCGAGACTAAAAGTAAAATACGCGAGTGTGTATAATGAGAACTTATTTGGAATAAGCTCAAGGACCTCGAAAAGCGCAAAGTTGTTAAATAACATATCTAAGAGCATTCAATTAACGTCACTTCTATATTCGCGACTTCAAGTGCTGCGCCTTGCCCAAGGCCTCTTAGGCATTATTATCACGTTCCATTTAAACAGAGTTACACCTGTTGGCGGTTCGATATTATTGATCGCGATGTATCTGTTACTCCTTCAAATCCGTTAAAATATTCTCTATTCCTGTCTATAATGTACGATTACTATTTTTAGGATTGGACGAGCGAGAATATATTTAGAAAACGTATGTCTTGTTTATTCGCAGTTTTAGAAACGCGGCTTTTTGATAATTTACGAAATGCACGGCTTGTCGATTGATTATGCGCCGACGACGCGTTTGGAACTCCCGCGTGCTCGATGAAAAGCCACTTGACTATGTAATAATAACCTGCGCCAACTATGCAGCGTATGAATGATAAATGCATGCCATTATAAAGCATTGGAGCATGGCTGGGAACGCGAGAGGCACACAACGTGTATAGAATACTGCTGCCGGTTTTTCACGCTCATGAATCGAGAGAATATATTTTTTATGTCTGTTGCTTTAGCGTCCGACATCGAATTATAATATAAAAGCAATGAAACATAATGCATTGCAGCATATATAACAGTATGATTATCACGCAAACAGAAAAATAAAAATGCTATATATAATTATATATAATAATTATAGTAGAGTTATAATTGGTTATAACGGTGCAATATGTATAAAATTATATATATATATATATATATATATATATAATTATAGTGTTAATTACAAACCATCATTGTAAATTAATTATTTTCTTATTGCGCCGTTCTTCCGCTTTTCTCTCTTTCTTTTTCTCTTTCTCTCAATAATATTACCACCAATTTAATTAACTCATTAAACGCAATTCCAAAGTGGATCGCTTATTACTATGCACTGATAAATTTTACAGGCCAGCGGGTAGAAAACGCGACAGTTGAAAGTCGTCAACCGAAAGGCGTAACCGTTATGCCACGGTCAACTTTAAAATAAAAGGGAAAAGGCAAACGGGGTGGGCGGGAAAGGTGGCAAGGGAAGGAATTAAAAATATGCGGCTGGCGGATAATATTTGCGCTCGCTCCCACCGGATGTTCGAGGAAATATGCCTCGCTATCGAGAATGCGTACTCGTATATACGCATATAAAGTGAGAAAATATTTCTCTTTAATTTCAAAGAAGCCATAACGACAGTCTCGCTAGAAACCACTTTCGTTCATTACGTACGCGAGAAATCGTTTTCTCGGTGTCTCGTCTGCGATGAGACGGGACGTTGCGTATTGATATATCGCCGCGCGATATAATGGATAAACTTTTACCGTTGTCGATTTGATGGATAATCGTGCCGTTCATGGCATCCATACTGGCCAGCAGTCGCCGATCCTCCAGCTTATCTTTTCTCCCGAAGAAAACCATGATTGCGACATTCAACTTCGTGTCCCCTGCCGGAACACCGAAGACACTCTTTCCCGGCGGTCTTCTCGATTTCGAAACTTCGCCGCGAGTTTATTTACGCTTTCACACACATTCACATTATTACTCCTTCACGTTTTCCAGCACATTTTTTTACCACGTAAAATTGTCATCCTGATTGTAAGACTGAAGTATTACTGTTTCTTATTTAACGCGAAAATCAAGTTTGAGATTCGAAACTCAAGGCTACCCCGAGATTAGCCTTGTCGAATTGTAAATCACTACTTAAACGTTTGCGCATTAATTACACCATTAATTCACCGCTCAGCAGGGCTCGTCAAGGAAAAACGTCTCCGTCGTTGCTTTCCTCGCCGCCACTTTGCAGTGAATGGAAACAGTCTTACACCTGCCGGGGCCCCGAGGGCCCCCTGGTCCAGACGAGGGGACCACAAGCGGCACCCCGCCTAGGTAGTGGGGCAACTAAGAAGGCAAGCCCAACGATGCTTGTTGACACGGCTTCGAACTCACGTAACTCATGCTGCTCGCTTATGCCACGCTCGGTATCCTTGGACAGTGTGCGACCAATATATCGCTAAGAATTCAACGCGAAGAAATTGCGCGGGAAAAAAATTCGAAACCGCGGCGACGAAAGAGGCGAAAGGCGGATGGAATTTAAGAGATCGGAAGGGAATCTCGATCGAGGAAACGTAAGCGCCACCGACTGCCGACTGGCTCCGAAGATTCAAAGCCGGCTTCTACGAAGGGTCGGGGACGTCCATGCAGCCAGAAACAAACCAGCTGGTGGCTGCTGGTGGACCAATGGAGGGGGCAGAGCACGCAGAACGGGAAAGAAGAGAAGAAGAAAGGTATAGCGAGAAGAGGCGGGAATATCGCCACGCGTCGATTGTTCGAAGCGTCGAATCGCGATTTCGAGATCTTTCTTCACGGATTTTATTTTATTTTATGCCCTGATGATGTACCGGGGAGCTAAGGCGCGAATTATCGTATCTCGCTGAGTCCGCAAAAGTAGAAAGATCGTAGAAACTAGAACCAATTCAATTAGGGCTGAGACAATTACGAGAGAGCGGAGTAAATACGACGTCTATAACACTTGTTTTCGAGTGACGGCGCAATTTTCGTGATGACATCTTTTTGAAGGCGGCTGTTAAATTTTATCGTAGGGAAATACAGTGCTTTCTTTTATCTTCCTTCGTCTATTAAGTTTATCTCGATTAACAGTACGTTCTTGAAACTGGCAATATGTTTCTTCTCGAACGAAGAGAGGCCGAACAGCGAGAGGCAAAACAATGCGGTAATCGCTAAAAGCAACAAGAAGAAAGCATTCATTGGTTCGAGGAGATATGAAGAAAGTGTAATAGTGAGATAAACGGCGCAACTCAAAGTGTGAAAGAGAGAGAAGGGAACAAAGACAAATGCGGAGGCAAATCCGATAAAAGCAGGATTTCTGCCAAACGCCGGAAGTATTTTCAACCGAGTATTATCCCGAAGAGTTCTCTCCATTGCAAGAAAAAGGAATTAGCGATCGGTGGTCGCTTTTCTCGTTCAAGGCTGTGCGCGCCCAGCACGTCATCGATCGCGCAGGGTTTTCCGTCGTCCGGAGAACACGTGCGTGACGATCGATCGAATCGCAAACCGTCGACGAACTTTGAACGGTTCGCCGGTGCCGACAGGGTCGGAATCCGTTTCGTTCGGATTGATTATGTTACAGTACATTGTAGATTTTCACAGTACTTCTAATTTTATGCGACATTTCGAATAATTATCTTGTTCATTGATAATCGAAAGAACTGCATGTAACATCTCAAGAGAGGTGTCGAACACATCGAAGATTTTACAAAAATCCCGCACCTAATGATACACGCATCGCGGAGAAGCGGTTTCATTTTTCCGGTTCTTCAAATTACTTCGTAAATTTTCTCCCGGTCTTACCTGAGGTGGAGTTGAGATCTTTCTTTTGGATGATCGACGACAGAGCGGAACACCCACATATGTCCTCGATAACGCTCCCCCGCGACTTGCTCCTCCTCATTTCGATCGACTTCCCTCGATGACCCCGAGCGACATCACGTATATCCCGGTCGATCACTCGAGTCCTCCGCCACCAGGAGTCTTCCGGCCATTACGACGGCTCCTCGTGGACCGTCCTCCGATCCCGCGGGATCGCCGTCATCGTTCGCCGCGCTCCTCGTCGGAGGTTTCCACGTGCTGTCGCGCGCCGTCGGCTTCCCGTCGGCGAATCGACACGGCCCTCGGCGGCTCGATCGAACGGACGAAACGGACGATCGCGGGCTGTGTTGCGCGATTGGAAACGGATCAGGATCTATTCATAGATCGAAACGACTTCGGCGCCCTAGTCCAAGTGGTTTTTCCGCGTACGCGAAAGCGATACCACGCCGGCGGGACCACGGGGCGCACATGAGCCGCGCGAACCGACCGCGACCGGTACTTATAGTCGTCGGTCCGAAAGGGGTGGCCTTTGTGGCACCCTGTCTATCTCCCTCTCCCTCACTCCCTCTTCCTCTTTCTTTCTCTCTCTCTCTTCCGCTCGCTCTCTTTCTCTCTTGCTCTCACGTGGCAATTCCTCGACTCGTGGCAACGACGACTGGTACGCGTTATATCCTCCCCGATCGATAGTAAACGCGCCCATGAAAGGGTCGCAAATATTCTTCGCGGGGCTGCGCGCCAAGAAGGGCTGACGCAAGAAATTGTTGTCCCGCGAAAGTTTCCGTGATAATACACTTCCTCCTTCGCTCTCTCTCTCCCCGCCGCTGACGTACCAAATTTGCGAAATAATCTATTTTTATGAGCGATGAGAGGGACTCGTGTTGAAAAAACAAATATTGATAATTTTAGCTTGGAGATTAATATTTTCCACGTCATTTTCCACTATCATTTTCTCTTAACGAGATATTTTAATATTTTAGAGAACAAAAATTTGTTTCTCAATAATGCTAATCTAATGCTCTATATATATGTTAGTCTATACGCACGAAAATAATCTAATATCCAATCGACATACTCTCTTTGCTTAAAAATATCATACAAAAATTATTACTAAATTCTATTTACATTAAACTTTGATATAATATTTTTTACATAATTTTATCAATGTGTGTCTGTGCAGCAGATAGAAGACAATGTATGTGCTCTAGCATTTTAAACATCGGAAATTCTCTCGTAAACGTATTTTAACAGCTGCTGGCAAGTAACACCACAGGAAGTTCCGAGCTGAGGTAAGCATATACTGAACCGAATGCGAGGCTTAGCGGTAGGTAACCCAGGTCGCGATCGACGGTTTTACATTGTGTGTCGTTAAGACGAGATGGCGACTACCTCCAATACACTGCAGTGAGTCTTCTTATGTAATATGCCTTTAAATAAAAAAAAGTTGAAATTGTTTCATACGTTTTCAGTTGTTGGTAATTCCTTGGGACTTATTATAAATTACATTGTACTTCCCCGTGTATTAGGAAAACAGGGAATGTAAATTGAAGAAGCGCGGAAAGATTAGATTTCTAATGAAGAAGATCTATGTAGACTTCCGCTTAATTATCAATGATGATAATATCGACGATTAAAATAGAAATCGTCACTCGCTTCCGGATGTTTGTCGTCGCGTTTTCCGCTTTGATTTCTACAATGTAGAAAACAAGGAGGCGAAGGTAGAGGAAAAACGTACAAGTTTTATAGAGAAATTAAATTCACATGTACTTTCTCCAGTTGGATTTTGCATTTTGCATCTTCCAAGGACTACGCGAATCCGGATAGCCATTCTCATTCGTTCGCCACACCGTTTCATGTATTCTCCAAAACGTCGCGATTTTCCGAGCGTCTCTCCGTCTGGTCGCCAGAGCGATGCGAGTGCGCGGGCGACCTTACGACCGGATCAGATTGGCTGATTGCTGCGAGCCAGGGATTCGATGATGACCCACGTGCGTGACGTGCGACGGAGACGGACGCGGCCGACGAGGATGACGGCAATTCTTTCTCCCGCAAAGTGTGTCACTCGTTACGCGACGAGATGAAGCTACGAGAGGAAGGACGGATGATTGTTTTTTTTCTTAATGTGATCACACGATTTGAGATTCCCCCCTACGTACGAACTACGATAGTGACCTTCGTGATTCGTGTCCTTCGCGAACTGCATTGCGTGCGAAGCGAAAGATTCGGGCGTCGATTGAAAAGCGTAGAAGGAAACGTTTGTGAAAAAAAAAGAAAGAAGAATTTGACAAGAGCTTAGAGTGCAGCCATATTGTGAAGGATAAGGGCACAACGTGTGAGATTTCTCAAGTTACCCTGTGACGACAAATTTGTTGAAACAGTTGATAAAATCAAGGATGGAAGAGACATCGAGAAATTGATATAGTTTCCGATTTTTATTTCGGATGATGTTATTGCCTACGGTTGAGGAGTCACGAATTCCTTTTTCGATAGTGATATTGTCTTTTTTTTTTGCAGCAAGCGAAAAATGTGCGATAGCTCGACGTCTTTATTGTAGAAGTTTTATGTAAAAAGATTAAAAGGAGCCAAGTGTGCGCGCGCTCAGACATTGGTACTTTGTGCATTTCGATCGTCACAATATTGAAAACGGTGCACGCCTGGGCGCGATGCAATATTTCGAAACGACGTGTTTCGTGACAGGAGAAAATCTTTAGCAACTTTTTGCCTTTATTGCTTGACAGCAGTTTTAGACAGCAAGCGCGGAAAATGTACTTCCAACAAACGTTTCGATCATTCTTCATCTTCGTTTGTTAAATTAAGAAATGACGGTAAATTATTTCTCTCATTTTTGCAGACAGTATTTTATTTAACGATTAACTCATAATTAATCAAATAATCTACCGGATGAACTTATCTTGATTATAAAAATTAATTTCCTCCCGCTTGATGAAAAAACAACTCGATTGATGAAATTGATCAACTCCTAATCTATTTAATTGATAAACATATTCGGCGCTGTACTAACCGAGCGTATATGTATTAGTTTCTTATCATATGGGAGCGTGTGGAGATAATCGTCTCTTATTGCGCGTGTTGTTAAATAACAGCCGGCCTTGATAATAATAATAGTCAGCTGAGATTTAGTGCAGTACGCATTGCAGTACACATTGTCGTTCGCCATTGCTTTTGAATTTCTGTCACGATTTCTGTCGCAATTTTACGGTGGGATTATAAAGTTTATCGTTATAACGACACGCCCGTCAATTCGTGACGTTTCAAGAAGAAAGACACGTGTAATCGCGCATAAAAATAAATATGTTTTATTGCGTAAATATGTGTGAAACATATCAGAAGTCACCTATATGTTTTACAAAAATTGCCTGTATATTACTAATTGTCAATTTTTTAAATATATTTTGATGATATAATTATCGTTGGTAATTATTTTGGTTGTTCTTTTTAAATTTAAATATCTACGAGAATTTTTTGGAATTATATGTATGAAGTTAATTTTTAAGTCGTCATATATGGAGAATAGACAAAAAGGTTGCGTTCGGGGAGCGTGCTATCAGCGCTATGACATCATTTCGTTCTTATTTTACGTCTAATTAACGATAAAAATAAAATGACATATAATAGCGCTGACAGCGCGCTCCATGAATGCAGCCTTTTTGTCTATTCTTCATATATGGCGACTTAAAAATTAACTTCATACATAATTCCAAAAAATTTTCATATTTAAATTTAAAAAACAACCAAAATAATTGCCAACGATAATTCTAACATCAAAATATATTTAAAAAATTGATAATTAATGATATCATTTTCCCATGAAAAAGATACACGATTACATATATATTATGTATATATATATATATATATATATATATAATATATTTATTTTGAAATTTATTTCGCAATTTGTTTCTACATTTTCACATATTTTTCTTTCAATTCCTTTGTCGCAAAATTGCAATTTTGAGAGATAACAATATCAAGTCGGTTGACATCTCTACGGATTTCCCCGGATTTAGGAGACAAAAAAAAGAGTAATCTCTTCACACGGATCTGACTTTGTGTAAGAAGAAAATCATCTTTATCAGTGTCGGCAAATATTAGAGCACAATTAAGTCCAAGGCAGAAACGTAAACACGACGGAAGATACGTCGCTCACGCGTGGGTATGTCCCTGATTTGTCGAAAGAGGTGGGAGCACGTGCCGCCGCTGCCGCGAATACGCCGAGAAAGCATGCGATATATTAGTCTTCGTTGAGCGCGAGATCAGCTGCCGCGCCAGCAGCGGTTTCCTCCATCAACACCATCCGGAGTTCGCGGCTCGTAGATCGATTGATGATCGTCATGGCGGGACAAACGGTACGTTATTCGACGGCACGGCGAAAATCTGCCGAAAATTCTCTCTTCCCTTTTCCACTTCAATTTTTGCGACAATCGTCGGACGAAGAAAGAAATCGATTTCTTCCCCTAAATTTGTTGTTAATTCCCTCAATAAGCCCCTTGAGCTTCTTCGATCAGTAAATCGTAAAGAGAAGAATTGTTTATCTGACCTTAAGAAACGGTATTTTTCAATTCTTATATTCCTACAAAGCAGATATTTCTAAGAAGTGAAAAGAGAAGATGGATACGTTTCCAATGCCCTATTTTTTGCACTTGTCCCCTCGATCCATTCCTTGCCTCTCCCGCGATGCATTTAAAAGGAGCAGCCGCGAAAATAAGTATCGACTATAGGAACTCGCGATCTGCCATTATTGTGAAAGGGCTTTTATCCGACTTACTTCTGTTTCGATTTCGCTCATGGGACAGGCACAATGTCCCGACATATCGAATCGATAAGTCCGCGAGAGCACTTTTCGTCAGATGTGCGCCACCAATGGAAAAGTTTCGAGGGTCCGAACTGTCTCGATTTATCGCCTTCCACCTAAGCTTTCTCTCGCGTCCCTTTTCTTCGTTGTAGAATATACACGGTGATGCGCCCGAGGTATTAAACTCGGTAGCAGTAAGTTATTTTTAGGTTCAATTCTTCCGATATCGGGGATTGTCATCAATTTCGATTCACCGCGAATCTGTTGCGTCAACATTGACTGACTCCAATCTCAATTAATCTTAACTTCTTTTTCTTATATTCGTATTAATGATAAGATTATGAGCGAAGGGCTCGCTGCAATGGACTTTAACTCACAATGTAGTCGAATGTGTGACATTGAATAGAAACAGGCGTATTTTCCTATCACTTGAACTTTAGAATTCGTTTTCTTCGTTTTTACAAAATGTGAGTCAATCCGCTGTTGCAGCAAGCCTTTCGATTGATAAATAAATAGAAAAATGCTAATCTCCAAAATTAAATAGAAATATCGATGCTTCTCGCTATAATGGCAGAAAGAGATGGGACTTTTCAGATCGATTCCGTTTCGTTAACAAGATAGCTCTTCGTTTTTTATCTGCGATCGAAGTTTCAATTTTAGAGAGTGAAGGAACAGAAAAATGATCTTTTTCCTCGTAAAAATAATGTTCATTGGCCGAAAGAAATGCTAACGATCCGTGGAACGGAACAAAGCTCTTCGCGGTTACCGCAGACCGAAGAATTCGCTAAGATACGAGCGCAGTTGGAAGTTTGGGCGATAACAGTAATTTTATTTCCCAAATTTTTTATACGGTACATTCTGTACACTCGTTGAATTTATGTATATAATGTAATAGTAAGAGGGACGAAAATTCCGAGAGAAATTTTCGTGGTATATCTTGGCAATCCGAAATTCTTTCAGCCTCTTCAACTTTTGATACTATTCGCCTTCACGATCGTCATCGGTCAATCAAAGACAAGTAGGTCAATTAATTTAATAGCTCGCATAACTATATATTAGCGTAATTAATATTCGGCAAATATGGAATTTGATTGTTACTTATGAAAATGTATAGTTACCGACGAGTTCAATGAATCTTAATCCATATGTTGTTTACTTTAAAATATGTCGACTCTATTTATATAGTTCCACGTGTCGACGACACCGATATTCGTTACAAAGATGACATTCAACTCAGGAAACCGTTCACCTTGGAGGAGACATATCTAGGGCTCTATTATTCGTTTGGCTTCAACGGCACGTGGATTTCTGACAATGAAATCATGGTTGGGAACATAATTACAGGCGACATTACCATTACCGATGTAAAAACAAAGAAAAATAGACGGTTTTTCAATGGACTGGATTTACCAGTAAGGACATTTTATGATCTGTGCAATTTAACCTACACGATTTTAATCTACTGATGTTGCGTTATCAGAGAGATATTATGTGTTTATAAACGTCCTTCCGTTGCGATCGCAACGGAAATTAAAAGAAAGTACTCTTTACGAGTTACTAATGTCATCTATAAATAAATATTTCAATTTGCTAATATCTGAAACAAGTTGTTCAAAACAATTTGTCCCGAGATAATTATTTACTTTGATATCTCACACAAAATAGAAATTTGTTTACAAGCCAAAACATTTAGATTAAATATATAGCGAATATTTTTCTTCAAAGTTCAATGTTAAAATTGTTTTACAGCTGCCATACAGAATCAGCGTTGCAACTATTTCGGCCGACAGGCAGTACATTCTCTTTAGTTATAACATTAGACATGTGAGTGATTAATTGTTTAATATCTCTTTGCTCGTTGAAATACGATGAGAACTAAATTAAATGATTTGCGCAGGTGTACAGACACTCGACCGTTAAAAATTACGTGGTGTATAACGTGCAGAACGGGTAAGTTTATTCGTTTATATTTTTATTAGCGTGTATATATTGCCGTTTATATTGCCGTTGATAATATTAGTTATGACTATTCGTCGATAAGCTTGATTGCAAAACTGCGTGGCCTACACAACAAATTTTTATCTTTTATATTTCTAAATGAAGCAATAAGTGTTAATGTGATTGAGGTCATCACTTTGCAACTAAGTTTCAAAGCCACGGTGCAAGATAAAGTTATTTAATTGTATCTATTTTCCTAATTAGCTTCAGTAAAATTTAACTTTTCGTCTGATTGTTTTTTTTTTCTCTTAGAAATTTTGTTTCCTCATTATTTTAATGAGCATTTCTTTTGCCGCACGTACAGATGTTTCAAATACATAACATTTCCGTTCTCAATCCAATTTCACTGAATTTATCCAGCGAATTTTCCTAATCATTATCTCAATCGTTGTTATCTCCATCTCGAATCGTTATCTCAATCATAACTGATATATAAACTTGTGCATTCTGTATAAATATTTTTTTTCATATTTATATTTTAATGGACTCTTTTTTCCCATCGCACGGAAATACTTTTTTCCATCGCAAGGAAATACTTTTAACAACATTTTTCCTATACATTTGCAGCACATTTGTAAAAATCGCGAATGAAGCTTTTATCTCCCTGGCGATATGGTCGCCGATCGGTAGCGACTTGGTTTATGTTCTCGATAACGATATTTATCATATGACTTTCAATCACGACCAGAATGTAGTAAGAAGATTGACGACGAACGGCGAACCCGGAATCGTTTACAATGGAATTCCGGATTGGGTATACGAAGGTAAACCCTGTCTTCTTGTGACGTAAATAAATGTACTACATAAAATATTTTATAGTACATATATAAAATCTTTTTAATGTATATTTATTAAAAATATTCGATAATATGTGAATATTATAAAACCTTTTATCTCACAAAAAAAATATATATATAATATAAAAAAGAAATCCATTTTGAAGAAGAACTATATATCGTACAATATGTACTTATCGTATCTGTATTGAATAATTACAAGTAACAGATATCATTGCGAATGATTATAGAGGAAGTATTTGGATCTGGGACCGCGATGTGGTATTCACCGAATGGACGATATTTGGCCTTTGCAAGTTTCAATGATACCTTAGTAAAGGACATAGCATATCTTCATTACGGCGCTCCCGGTTCTCTTGAAGACCAATATCCTACAGAAGTGAAGATAAAGTATCCCAAGGTGAGATTCTACTTCAAAAAGCGTCTCTAAATTTACATATTCAATTCATATAATAAATTCATATTTGTCTGAAGAATGAAAATACTTATTGATATTTCCAAATATATATACATTGTATATACATACACATGTTTCTAAAATTTTTTAAAATATTTTTAAAATCAATAGTATCTTTTAAAGCTTTTCTCTCCTCTGCTTGTCCAACAAAAGTATCAACTATTTAGCTTCGATTATGTATAGCAAATTATTAATAATATTTTATTGATAATGCAACAATATTGTAAAATCATTCGAATTGTTCTGACACGCTAATATTGTTAAGTCACCATTGGACTCGGCTAATCATCTCCACTCGGTAAAACCGGCTATTGGTGTAACGAGTTGAAAGGACCGCTGTTCTTCCGTTTAACTCGAGCTTACTCTACCATAGATCCATTTTCCACGTGCGTGTGTCGGCACGTGCGGATAATCCAATTGTCGAAGTGCGCCGGCAGAAGTGCAATCTTCCGTGAAAAAAGCCCGCGAATCATTTCTCGTTCTATGTCAGGTCTTCATTTCTCAAAAGCGACAAGCAAATCTCTCTTCATTAGCTATAGTCAGTTAATCTCCCGGATTAATCAAATTAAAACTACTTCAGTGATTATCGAATATAATTAATTAACTATCTACGCTTCATTTTAAATTGGTGGCAAAGATGAAATATAAATTTATTTATGCAAGACATGGTGATGGAGCGATGTTCTCAAAGAAATATTTTAAAGCCCGAAATCTCAGCTTTCAAATCCCTTCAAGCTTTTTCCTCCGGTGATGCTTCTGCGCCATGTGGTACCATTTGAAAGTCGGATGTGAAAAATTACCAAAAAATCCTCAACTCTGAGATCATGTACGCGAAGTCGAAAAATTCTTTTTTCAATTTCGCTTGAGATCTCCCGAAGCAAAAAATCTTTTCTCTTAAAGTTTAGAAATTAAGCTGTGATTTTTTTTTCGTATGTTACAGTACTCAATACTGGCACGTATAAAAATACATTTTATTTAAAAATAATTGTTTAATATCTTACAAACTTTTTCGGAAACATTAATTATTTTCTGTTATTTTTTTGAACAGGATATTGAATTTTTTAATCGTGCTTTCATTGAGATATGTTAAGTAAAGTTAATGTTATGAATAATGATAAAAATATCAATAACTATTTAATTTTAAAGTAAATTTTCTCAAAGATACCAGTCCTCTAAAAAGAATTATCGTACATTTTTTATTCTTTTTTTCATATAGAAGCATCAATTTTTTCTTTTCTCTTTTAATATTATCCCAATATGTATATTATGTAAGTAAAGTTTTACTCGGAAATGTTTTTGCAATATCGTATAAATTACAATATTATTTATATTAATGAAAAAATATTATTTTATATATTTTATATATTTTATATATTTTTTCAGGTAGGTACAACAAACCCGATGGTATCTCTATCAGTGATCGATTTATCTGACCCATCATCAGAAGCAGTCACCTTGGAGGCGCCCGCTGAGGTTACGAGGCAAGTAACTTTTGCTATTAACAACAAATATCTCCGTAACTGTCTTCGAACGATTTTCTGATAATGTTTAACGCATTGACGTTCGCAGCGACAACGTTCTGTACTTCGTGAACTGGTGGAACGCAACACACGTGCTCGCGACATGGACGAACCGCGTGCAGAATCAATCCCAGATAACTATGTACAACACGCAAGGTGATGCCAAATCAGTTTTGTGCGACGAGGAAACCGAGGGTTGGCTTCAACCGAATTTTCCTATAAGAAGTCGTGATTACTTATTGCTTTTACGGCGGGAGCCTTCTGGCACCAGCGCGGGCAGATTCCGTCATATAAACAGGTAAGATAAGTCAGGCAATTTATAAATAAATGTATCTGTATAAATTCACAAAGAAAATTACTATTCTCAGAATATCCCGAGCTTTTTTGCTTCTTTAATTCTGAATTAATCGCAAAGTTTCTGCAACACACCCTCGTAACTGATAAAAGAGTTTGACAATCGTAATTCCAAAAATTCTATTAAGTTTATTAGCTTTTTCTCGTAATTTTATTCCTGTCGTTATCGTTAGGTACGAATATAAGGACGGCCAGTTTGTTATGCCGGTGGATTTAACGCCCGGTCCCTCCGAGGTTCACACGATCCTGGCAGCCGATTCGCCCAGAGGCAGAGTTTACTATCTCGCCACGGCGCCGGGTGAACCGTCGCAGAGGAATTTGTATTCGGTGCCTCTGGATGGGAGCCAGAAACCGACTTGCATATCCTGCGAGCTGCTCACGCCGGAAGGTAAGTCCTCGAAATCATGAATACGAGCGAGAAGAGAGAGAGAGAGAAGGGGGAAAAAGGGGAGAAGTAACATTTGGCATTTTTCATCAATTTGGACGATGAGCTTCGTGCACGAACGTGATGGCCCTATCTCGCGAGAACGTTCAGCGTCGTCGGAATATTCTATTTAAACTACGGCATCTCCCGTGGGGAGAATATTTTACGCAAGAAGCACGAAAACTTCATAGTCCTTAGTGTCCGATCGTTCGTTTTACTTAGATTCGCGAACCGACCGTCGAACGAGACCTTATATAGACTCGGGGGATGCTTAAGCATTCGGGGCCCTGTATAAATGCGGTGGAGAAATTTCGGGACTCATCGTCGACAGAGTATTTGTAACTTGTTCGGGCGATAGGTACACGTTCCAATTAAAACAGAAAGTCCATCGGGAGTAATCTCATCTGACGAAAGCCGCAAGTCGCGTTCATGAATATTTAGCGCGCGCGCGCGCGTATATTATTTGTGTGTGTGTGTGTGTGTGTGTGTGTGTGTGTGTGAGACGGGGGGGGGGGGTTGGTAGACCTCGCGGGAAAGATCTACGCGGGCGGCGATATGATGTAATCTACGGGAACCTACCTCTCGCGCTCCCGTAGAAAATCGCCGCAATTCTCCCTCGCATATTTGTGCAGCGCGCGAAGCGCGCGTCGAAAGTTGCGCGAATTCAAGTGAGAATTTCCGAATTCTCCTCCGACATGGGACCAGGCGCGCGCGCGCGCGCGCGCTCAACTTATTTTTGCGCGAACTTATCTCTTCTCCCATCCACATATACGCGAGGAGATTCCGAAAGATTCCGGTTCTTAATTCCGGACGACGGCGAGGCGGCTCGTCCGTAAAAGAGGCTGAAATATTACTTTTCGCGTAAGTTTCTCCGGCCATCGGCGGCAGCTGCGTTCGCCAGACACGCGCGGAGCGCGCGCTATCGCGTAAAGAAGATTAATTCGCCGGGCTATTTGCGCCCGCGAGAAAAATCAACGTCTATGAGAGGTGTGTACCTCGGTCGATGCCATGTTTACCCTACATTCGCTAAAATATGATGTTTACCGGAATTTATTTCGATCGGCGAAATGTAGTAAGCGCGTGGAAATTTATGCCCCCTGCCTACCTTCGACGGGCAGCTAGAGCAACGTACGCCCACACCGGTGGGCAGAATTTTATGTGCACGATAAAATTCTCTCGATTATGTATCATACAATATCCGAATATGTATAATATTAAAAAATGAAAGCGGAAATAACTGTGCGCGAAAGGGGGGGGGGAGAAGTGGAAGACAACATCGAATTTGGGGAGAATTGAAGCGGCGCGAATGAATATCTTGTTACATAGAGAATGAGAAAACGAGAAAAAGTTCTCTCCACGGAAAAATTCCGACGAATTTAAATGTTGCAGGAAACAAGTGCACTTACGCGACCGCGTCTTTTTCGAGCCGGAGATCGTACTATTCCCTCGTCTGTTCCGGGCCCGATCCGACTACGGTGACGATTAACGACGAGAAGCATCGGCCAGTCTTGACTTGGAATCTTAACCCGGTGTCGAGGATGCTTTTGTCGCGACGACTGCTACCGCAACGAAAAGATTTCAACGTCACCGTGAACGGCTACGACTGCAAAGTCAGGTTGCTCCTGCCGCCAGATTTCGACGAAAGCAAATCGTATTCCTTGTTGGTATTCGTGTGAGTATCCAGGTCTAAGTAAAAAGAGACAGCGTCAAAATATCAGTTAATATTTTTCCACGTGGTAGTTCACCAAGAAAGATTTATTTATGCTTTTGCGCTCGGCAACAAGATTTTTTTTATTACTAAGATAAACATAAGATAGAAAACGAAACTTAAGTATAGCGAATAAAATTTAACGATAAATCAGTTATTTGCTAGACAAATCAGCTTTATTGTGAAATACATTTCCGTATTTTCTATCATACTTTAAATCACGCTTGATTCGAAAACGAATGCACACGAATATCTTTATGACGTTATCGTGTGTAGATTTTGAAAAATTTTAATGTTGCATAATAAAATACTAACTTTAAGAAAAGCACAATATTTTGCTTAGCAAAACTCGTTTTGCAAAGTGCAATGTATAAATTTGAATAGAATTAAAACCACGTTTCTCTAATAATTTATAAATCACAAGTCTAATTGCATATTTTTTCAAGTGGAATTAACGTTTTATTTTCATTATTTTATTAATATGTGTCAGTTATATATATTATATATTTCAAACACCTGATCAGCTTCGAGCATTAATGTTTACCGTATATCTCGTTAATAGCAGTTCTAATTGCGGCTACGACGCAATTGGAACTGGAACAGGCGTACGCGCCTGATGATTGATCGGCACGCAAAAGGATTGCAATCTCCATTTAAAATTGGACCGTTGATCGGATCCGTTTGGCCGATTCATGCCGGGGCTCTCGCAACGATCGATTACCTTTAATGACCCTCACTCACTTTTCCCTTCTTTTTTAAGAAGCATTTGCGACGTATCGAGCGCATCATCTACTTAGAAATTCATGCTAGCCATTTGTAGCTCGGAGCTGGATAAAATCGAACACCCGCGTAATGCTGGGGGGGGGGGGGATGAAAACTGAAAGGCTATTCTTTGACTCTCGCGCGTTTTCATTTCGCGGTTAAGCATCTCGTAAAACATTAAAACTCCGCAGCTACGCCGGTCCAAACACGGTCAAGATCGTCGATGAAGCCAGGATCGGATTCGAGCATTATCTCACGACCAATCGAAGTATAGTCCACGCCTGGATCGATGTACGAGGATCGGCCTATAAGGGCAGCAACATGCTCTTCGAGATATACCGAAAGATAGGCACCGTAGAGATTGAAGATACGATCGCTGTCACCGCGTGAGTAATACGAAAGTGATCGAAAAAAAAAAAATAGTAAAGCATCGCTCTAAAAACGAGAATATGCCTTGTTGTAGAATTCTGCAGAAGCAATACAAATGGATCGATGCGAACAGGACTGGCATATGGGGTTGGAGCTACGGTGGCTTCACCACTGGCATGGCGCTGGCCCAGGATACCGACTCCGTCTTCAAGTGCGGTATATCCGTCGCACCTGTGTCTTCCTGGATCTATTACGGTAATTGAAAGGGAAATTGGGGATCTTGGATCTCTTATAACATTAACTTTGACTCTCTGTACTGATGATTCCAAATGATGTCGATGCATTTCCAATTCGGACATCGAGCCTCAGTGGTACCCTCTTAAAATTACTGCCCGATTCGTTATAGATTCCATCTACACGGAACGATTCATGGGGCTGCCGACTGTGGAGGACAATCTCATCGGTTACGATCGCACGGATATCTCGCGACGATCGGAGGGAATACGCGGCAAAAAGTACATGCTGATACACGGTACCGGGGACGACAACGTGCACTACCAGCAAGCGATGGCGCTCGCCAAGTCGCTCGAGCGTAATGACATCCTGTTCCAACAAGTCACGTACACGGACGAGGCGCACTCTCTCGAGCACGTGGCGCCTCACCTCTATCACACAATGGACAAATTTTGGGGCGAGTGCTTCGGGTGGGATTAGCTTCGCTAATCGGTCTCGCCGAAGACGAGAATCGTCCTCGCGGCTATACAAACTCGTTCGCGCCAGTATCTTAATGACACGAGAAACGCAATCGGCGTGAACCGAGAATAATCGAAGATTTATTTTGAATTCGTTCAGATTTGATTCTGATTAGTTTTACATTGATTCGACGTGAAAGAATTACCCCAGCGTGCCTCTATTAATATTAATGGCGTCAAAGTGCTTATCATTAAGATTAAGGGTGGCTATTCTGGGACACTTCGCCTTGACCTTAATCTCAAAAATGTCGACGGTAGCAATGGAAAGTATTGTAAGTAAACTTTGACGCAATGTGAACATTTTTATCAGCAATTAAAGAAAGGGTTCGTATAAAAATATATTGTTTGAGAAAGAAATAAAACTTCTTTGCAGGTATATAAATACAACTTCATGCAGATATATAAATTCGAATACAATTCTGTATTTCTATAATTTTTAGAAGGCTAACTTATAAATTATCATACAAATCAATTTGTAAAGTTTTGCAATTCTAATATTTTTTATTGACGTCACCAATATATGTAAATGGACTGAATTTAATCGTATATAAAATTTGTATGAGACAGGATTAATTATTTATATAATATTTAATACTGTTTAATTTATCTTCACGTTCGTTTCATTGATCTCGATGGCAAATCCCTACCAAAGAAATTTGTTTGCCTGTAATATACAAAAAAGTTCCTGTTACTATTACTATTTAGTGCCAAATATAAAATTATAATTAATTTAATAATTCTTAACTTGTCTGTCGATCAGAGCGATGGAAATTTCGCTCGTGCCATATTTCCGAGGATATATTATGAATGCGTCGAAATTTATAAAAATATATAGAATATTTATGTAAGATGGAACTCCTACATAAAACATTTCTTAAAAATGTGCCTTTCTTGTCTTTTATATCTTTCTATAAAGACATCAAAATAAAGTGGACTTATCTTTTCACATTGGACAAGAAATAAAAAAATGTTTTCTATCTCTAGATTAACGTATATCCTAACCATATGTCCCGTGTATTATTATAATTTTTCTATTACAATAATTACGCATTCTTAAAGCTAAACCAAATTAGTGTCTGAAAATTACGACATTTTGTTAATTTTTAAAAAACAATAATAGTAGCACTTCCACAGTTTTACCGCTCCTGATAAACATTAAAAAATGTTCCGCATTTTTAATACAAAACAATTAAAAAACGTAATCCCATGGCCCGCATTTGAGATAATACAAAGATTCCAGTTCAAAATACTAAGGATCATAACTAATGCTCCATGATATATATTCCTAAGTTTTATTTCGGGATTTGAAAATACCGATGGTGAAAGAAGCCATCAAAGATATGACTGAAAAATACAAGGGGAGAATTATGATGTAAGAAGACATACATCATGGGGAGAATTATAAATCACCTCAACAAACTAGCTTGTCATTTAATGACTGACACACTCTCAACTCGAAGACTAAAGAAGAAAATTCCCTCGGATCTACTCATTCGACGTATGACGTTTAGATGAATGAGGAATATCACTGGATACTCCTCGCGCATGATATATCTTTAGTAAAACATATTGCTAAATGTTCAAATTAAATAAAAGATTGTAATAATTCTAGGAGATTAAAAAAATGACGTGAAAAAATTTCACGTTCCAGCACGGCACATCTGCTTCTAAAGTACTATATTCCATCAAATATTACATCTGTCAAATGTTCCCATTAATCCTCAGTTAATTTCATAATTACATAGCGAATTTCAAGACAAAAGTGCAACAATTAATCATTGTTACACAGTTCTGAATCCATGACAGCACGACACTCGGCGGAAATGTGTTGTGCTGATAATTTTCGGCACTGCTGACGGCACCGCTTCCGGCTTGTTCCGATCAAGTTCTACACGAGTGAATCATTTTCAAAACTTGTTCCGCCTTATAAACATTTTTTTAAACAATTTTACTTTTACCGCGCCATCATGACACTCGACGAAAATGTGTCATGCTGATAATTTTCGGTACTGCTGGTGATAGTTCTAGCTTGTTCCGATTTTACTCGCGTAAAACTCGATCGAAACAAGCTACTGTTTGCTACTATTTACAGGCAACAGGAACTATGAAAAGTGCTACTGGAACTGTTATTGTTTTTTAAAAATTAACAAAATGTCGTGCTAACTTCACAGACACGTCAAATTATATTGTTGCCTTTTCGTGATTCATGCTTTTGTTTTAAGTTGTGCATATTTTGCAATCAGCTGTCATCGCGGAGATTATGAATTTTGATAATTTAAATATCAAAAAGACTCCTGCATTGTGCAATGTGAAAAATTTTATTTCTAAAATTTATTTTCTAAGAATAAAAAAAATCAATACAACTATGTTGTTGTCGATAGGATAACAGATTTCAAAATTTATCCCTCTACTCAATGACCCAGATTTTCATATTTTCGGTCAAGACAAACTAAGTTTTGTGTTGTTCTTCCTGTTTATGAAACACTATATAATAAACATGCATTGTTAATACACCGTTTTTCCATTCTCTCAACCGCTGTCGGTTATATTTTTATCTGACATCTCGTTTACCTGCCCAATTCGATCAGTCGGCCCGGACAAAGTGACTTTTTGGAAAATTTAATCATTTCATCTCTCGTGTCCACGAGCCCTTCTTGAATCTAGAGGATGGGCGAAAATTTTCGAGGCAACTTGGCTCGCTGACCTGGAATCTTCGACAGTCGGAGAGAAAAATGTTTGCTCAAACATCGGAGCGAGTTTTCAGTCGGAGTTCATGACTCTTCTCGGTCAGCGGAGATCAAAAAGGCTCTCGGATATTCGATTTGGGTTTTCAATTTTAAATTGTTATTTTCGATATTGCTTAAACACCGTTTTGTATCTATACTAGCGCCGGTAGCGATTTTCGCAAGAATACCTCTTTTACACTTCTCTCGCAGTATCTCTGTCCGTATTACCGCATCCGTGTTATTAAATACTGGGGATTTTCATTATCAACGTATTTTAATAATAAAATTAGACCTACTCTTGTTAATTGCTACATAATATAATACGGATGCGGCGCGCCCCGCTCACATAATAGCGTTAGAGGCAGCGGGATCGATATTTCCATTCTCTCATACGTTCGCGTCAAGTCGGATCGCCGAGATTGCGAGGAAATAATATTAACGATTAATGACGTCGAGCATCCACCTCGATGAGAATTGAAGTGAGACCTCTCTCATCCGTGTACACACACGTCCGACAGCTTAAACAATCATGCTTTAATAGCCGAAGAACATCGCGAAGGTTGCCTTGGCACGCGATAGATAAGATCAGATTGATTCAGATACACTTTGAAATTATATTCTTTCTCGACAAGGTTGAATCGCGGCCGCCAAATAGATTTCTAAGTTCACGGTTGGAAACAATCAAAATGAATTCCGATTAATTGATTAACTAATATTATATTACGCTCAGTATTTCTTGTGGAATTAATGAGAAAATGCAGACAACAGTCTCTAAAAATACTTCAGAAAGTTCAATTACAAGGAATGCAAAATAAACTAAATGAAACGAAACGCGAGATGAAGGACAGACACGAATCTATACCAGTGCAGAAATTGTCAGGAAAATCGATTCACGTCGCGGCAGAAAGAGCTGCCTTTAAGATGGAATTGTGACGAGCCCGAAGAAAAGAGGAAACTACGCGCGGCTCGCGCGCGACTACACGAGTAGTTCCTTTCCTAGAACAAAAGGGAGGCAGCCTATTTCCCGGGCTGTGCGGTGGAATCTGTGGCAGCGCTCGGGGGTTCGTCGAGGGAGACATTAAAGCGCGCTCTGGCCATTGTCGGTCGCCGCAAGTTCCCGGCGAGCAAAAACAATGCCACACGCGCCGTCATCGAGCCGTCGTCATCGTGCCGCTTTTCATCGCTCGTAAATGTTATCGGTGGATAGCGGATAGCGATCTTCGGCCGCGGACGGGACGAATGGCGCGCGGAGTCTGACCGACCAACGAGACGCAACCCTTTTCCGCCGGCCAAGAAAGTTTCTGGAAAGGAAGCGGGCGGACCGTGACGCAGTCGGGAAGTGGGTTGAGTGGGCGACCAGAGCGAAGCGCGACGACGAACTGATTTGATACCCCTCGGAGATAATTTCATTCCATTTTATTTAATAATAGCGAAACGAGAGCATCTTTTTTTGTTACTTGATATTTCACCGAGGATATCTCGACAGTGAAAGTATTATATAACGAGGATAAGGAATTACGAAACGAGCTTAAGATTTTTCGTAAAATTATTTAAAGGGAAACAGTTCAATCGAAGATAATAAGAATATCATGAAGAGAGCAAATACTAGTGAAATCTCAAGAATTAATTCCCAAGTGGAACAGAAGGCGCGTACCAATGTGCGATCAATTTTTTGTTACTACTCTCGAGTTAAGTGAATGTATTTCGTATTGATGGTACCCGGTGACATCGTCAACGAGATCCCGCGATCTATCGTCCGAATAGCATCCATAGAAAGTGAAGAACCGTGGTAGATTCGGGTGATAGGCGATCGGGTGTCTATGGCACGTTCATCCCGCTATTGAAGAATCCTGTTACCATGAAAGCATTGCGTTAGCGCGCTTTCGAATAACGTCACCATGGGTGTGACCAGCGACGGGCAGGAAGGGAAAGAGAGAGAGAGAGAGAGAGAGAGAGAGAGAGAGAGAGAGAGAGAGAGCCGAGAAACTCCATTTCTACCTATATCTGCAATACGTGCCGATGGCTTTTACGAAAAAAAAAAGTCAATTGTAAAGCGAAAGTGTCAAAGCCGTTCCGAATACGGAACGTGACGCGCGATTCGCCTATTGTTTTTCCGTTTAGCAACATGGACTTTCAACAAAAGTTGTTTTGTAAATGCGTATGTACATATATCGTCGCATGCGTTTCCTCTCCGTTTAGAGAAAATCTCGCTGTTAAGAGCTCGTACGTCGGTGCTACACGATAAACTGTTAATTAAACTTGATCAGTGTCAATTGTTTAGCTCAATTGCGTTTTCTCGTATATACACAGTGAAAGAATCGCAACGTTGTACCGTGATTTCATCGTGTCGCGCGGCGTCAATGCCGACCTCATTTTCGTGCAGCTCTCTCTCTCTCTCTCTCACTCCCCCGAAACTCGAATTTCGCGCAGAAATTCCCACCGCGTCGATCGTCGCATAATCGACCTGTGGCCTTCGCGCGCGAAATGTCACCGGGGGGGGGGGGTTCGCCCGGCCGATTTGTACGTCCGCGTGTACATCCGTTCCGGATTCTATCTGCGAATTTACCGCGGGTCGAAACTGCATTTTCGATCGCGCCCGAAAGACGAATTTCCGTCTTTCGAGCGCGGGTCTCTCCCGAAAGCTCGTTATTGCCCTTTGTGCGGGCACGACGTCATTCTCGAATTCATCGCGTAGGACAAGTCATCGCCGTCTGGGTAGGGCGGGAGCGCTACCAAGAGCAGGTGCAGCGACGTCGGTTTTGCTACGAGATTCAGAGTCGAAGCGAAAATGCAACTATTTTGCCGATATAACCATAAACGTAATATACTTGTAGATTGAAGAGATTTGTCAAAAATAAAATTAAAAATAAAATTTCGGTAAAATCGAAGGAAAATTGCTGCAATATATCCTTTTCTTTCGTCCGAGGAGAAATTTTTCAATCTTCTTTTTAAAGAATTTCAACTTTATGACTCTTTTTTTTTAGTACAAAACTCGACAGATCTCTCGCATCGACCTTAATATAAATGTTTATCGTCCTAAAAAGCAAAAGCGCCATTAAGAAAGAACAGGATAATTGTAACAGACGAAAACATGGGATGTGAAAACATAATGGGTTCATTCGCGTTTTATTCTACTGCTGTGCAGAGTATTCGCGCAGAGAGCCCCTTTAAGATCAAATGGATTCTCTTGCACTTGCAACCCCCGCGTCGTCATTAAGTGCGCACTAACGATTTCTCTCTTGGAAGGGAAAATAGCAGTTGCTCGCTAACTCACCGTGTGACTTATCTGTGTGGCGATCGGACGGGTGTCTTGCGAGGAGTACAACGAAGGTCTCGTCCTTACGGCCGCGCGCGCGAAAGATTTCCTGGACGATTAATCTCCCACCTGCCGACCCTGGCCCCTGAAACGAAAAGGTTTTCGGAGTCAAGGACGCGCATGCAACGCTTCTTGTTCCGCCAATCGATATCCCTTGAATAAGGCTAGCCCCGCGGCTTCTCATTTTGCGTGACCACGGAGGAAGGAGTGTTGGACTATAGTCGGCCTCGAACACACGATCTTGGGTGGTACCAGCCGGTAACGCGGCGGCTACCCTCGCTGGCGAGCCCTTTACTAGACGAGACTACATCTGAAATTATGCACTGCTATTCTCGTCGTCTCTCCCATTATACGGAGTCTAATAACGGTCTCGCGTGTGGGAACGTTATTATTGCGAGTATAGGCGGTTTCCGCGTCACGTGTATCTACGTCGAACATTCGCGCCGATATCCGAAAGAAAGGACAGAAGATAGGATTGTTAAGAGCCGCAGAATTATTTAGATCGTTCGCAAAAACCGCACGCAGACACATTTTTATGTAACCGGCTCTCGTCATTGCCAGCGTCGTCGAATACGCACCTTATACCAACACGGCGCAGCGGCGTGCTGCATCCCGTGCCGCGAGTTTATCCTCGTCGCTCCGTGAATTTATGGAATGAACCGACGACGTTTATATGCGCTCCGCGCTCGTGCGCGCATCCTTGGAAGCCGGGGTGCGTAAAACAGCAAGACGGACACGACGGTATCACGCGAGGTATTTTATGACGTCGCGGCATCGTTGCCGTTCAGGTCCCTTATACACCGCACACATGTAAGTCTTTAAACGTTAAGTCTTTAAACAACCAGCCCCAGTATCTTTTTATATATAAGCAGCAGCAAAATGCGACATTTTTGTGCATGAATTGCCTCTTTCAAACTATGAGGATTGCAACCTTTTGTCAAACCCAGGGTACATGTAATGAAATTTTATATACCTAGGGTACATATTATGAAATTGTTCGGAATGGATTCCGATCGGAATTATTCAATTATTTCCTATTCCATTGTGCTTTCTAGGGAAAACGAAATAATTCCAGATCGGAATCTATTCCGAACAGTTTCATAATACGTGCCCTAGTACTAGTATTGTATTAATATCTGTCTCTGCATGACATTGAAAAATATGAATATATCGTTAGAACATGAAAGAAAATATAAAAGGACAAACGTTATTGAGTCTAAAAGTTATAAAAAAAATTTTAAAGACAAATTAATAAGTTAAGTATAGTAAATAATAGTAATATCGTAAATTTTATAAAAACGGACATCGCTAATCGATAGTTGAATAATGTCATTAGACTTCTTATATCTCCAAAATATTTCACTTTACGCTAAATAATATCGAATTAAAAAAAAGATGTAAAGATTTCTTTTCAATAAATTAAAATAATTTATAGAATATGACAAAAGTACAGAATAAAAACTTGTTTCTAACTTCAATTTGAAAAGTTGTATTTAGTATTATACGTCTGCATGTCTTTGTAATCTTAAAACGATCGATCAAACCATATTGGATATTTATTTGAGTAAAATAGTTTAAGAAGTATATTGCAAGAATTCTTACAAAAATCCCTTCCGTCCATTTTGCAGTTAAATAAGCACGGAAAACTCAATTCCGTGAACGTTTATCTCGGCACAGCGCTGCTTGCCACAAGAAGGAAATAAGAAAGAAAAGAGTGAGAGAAGAGAAAGAGAGGAACGCAGGGAGAAAGAAAGAGGAAAATCATGCAGAAATCTGAGCTGAAAAATTGATAAGATATAATATAATAAATTCTGTAAAAGTCAATCTTTATCTGACAATGATATGACGATGCTGTCTAGACTAGATCACTCGGTATAAGAGAAACTGCTAGGTCACTCATTGTAAAAAAAAAGCACGATGAATATTCCTCGCGAGATTAAAACGGAGTTAATGATCGATTAAGGACATTGAGTCGCGCATTTAGTTCCCTTTACCCCATTTTCCTCGATCGGTTTTTGCCCTCTTAACTTCAGATTTTCTCATCAGCATTGTCGTCAAATAAATGTCGAAGTCTGATTGAATTTAGCCTTAAACGCGACAGACGTAAGAGCAGTTTCTTATATATTCATAAAATAAAAACAGAATTATTTTATTTTATTTTATTACTAATTTATAAATAAACAAAATTCTGAAAAGAAAAAGCAGTCAATGAACAAAAGTGAAAGAGATTTGGAGAGGTTGAACAGCGGTGCGCGGTTTAATTGAAAAACGTGATACGGTATTTCGCGATCCGCTCTGATTTTGCGCATAAAGGTGGCGCGAGGAGGATTTCACGACGAAGTGGAAGAGTATTCGTCGACATCGTCAAGCTGATTTTCAAGAGAATGCGGGAATTGCGGTTAGGCGAAAAACCAGACGATATTATTTCCACGTTTGGTTTCGCACGACGGTCGAATACCTTTAATTAATTTGCTAAAGCCCGCTCGAAAATACCCTTTCCTGATATTACCACCTGGCACTACCGCAAAATGCTACGTAAGTTCTTCGTTATGAACTCCACACAATTGCAGCTGTAATTACAGCATATTATTTCCTCGTTAAAATTACATTGAATAGTAATGTTTGAAATTAAATATCATAATGTCATTATACGAGTAATAATGCAATATTGTTTTAAATGTTCCATTTTAGATAATCCGTCGCTATGCTTCTTTATTATATCTGCTTTTGATGCAAATTATCAGAAGTGTTTATCATGCGTCCGCGAACGGCCTGTTATTCTTAAGAGAGACATAAAAAGTCCGGACGTCTGTATTTTGCTTGATTCAGGAATGTATTCGCAAGGCTTCCGCACCCAGCTGCCCATGCCGAGCGGAGTAAGTAAGAAGATGCACCCTCCAATGATACAGGGTTGACTTTCGCGGTGGAACGCGACAGATGTAAAGAACGCGGGATCTCGCGACGCGGCTGTTGGAAGAACGGAGGGGAGCGCGTCGGGTTGAACGAAAGGGATGAAAGTCAGGATACAGATGGAAGAGGGATGGAAGATCCTGGAAGAGAGGGGGCCTGCAGGAGTGGAATCGCGCGTAGTTGGTGGGGAGTCGATGGTAGGTGAGAAGGAAGGACAGAAAGTGCGAATGGAGGGATAAAGGGATACGCAAGTTGGGGAAGGATGTACGAAAGAGATGAAGTAAGAGAGAGAGAGAGAGAGAGAGAAGTCATACGGTGGGGAGAGAAAGTCTCACAGGAAGCATGATGCTAGAAGGAAAGAGAGCGATATTCAAGCGGTCCAATTGAAGGGGATGAACGATGTGTGCAAGAAAGAGGGAAAAAGCGCAGTGGCTGAAAAGCGACACGGATACCGACTGTGAGAAAGCGAGAGCAATTTCGAGTCGGTGAACGCGGAGAACGAAATAGAAAGAGACGAAAACGACGGCGCTGAAGACACAGAGTTTTAGCAAACGATGGAAAAGGAGAAACGTAAAGAGAGGGGCGGGAAGGAAGAAGAGGGTTGCGCGCAGGAGACGAGAGAGAGAGAGAGAGAGGAAACACAGAAAGGAGAGATCGAGAGAAACGCGAGCAAATTGGAGATAGTCGACGGATGGGGAAATCGCGTGAAACAGAGGGAGAGGAATTCACGTGGCGGCGTTGGCGGAAGGGTGGCGGTCCTTCGAAAAGAGAAGGACGGAAAATAAATTTTCAGAAGCGACAGAATAGAGTTCATTTGGACTCTACAAAACAGGCGTGTGTTTGCGTTACAAGAAAAAAAAGAGAGAAAGAGAGAAAGAAAGAGACACAGAGAGGGAGCTTGAAACACACGCGCGCCAGGAGGATTTTCCAAATTTGCCGACCATAGCATGGCCGCGCGCGAGAAAGAGCGCGCGAATAACGGCGCGAGGAAGGGAGAGCGGTCCCGCAGCGGGGGTGGAAGAGTACAGAGTTAGACAGAAAGAGAGAGAGAGAGGGGGGGGGAGGGAGCGAAGAAGAGAGTGAGACAGGCAGAGCGGGAGCGGGACGGCAGGAGAGAGCGAGGAAGAGGGAGTACCAGGAGGCCGAGGCTGCGGCGTAGCTTCAGTGCCGGCGCAGTGGCCGGGCCATCGTGTCCTGTGCCCAGGTCTCCGTGTTCTCCTCTCTCCGTCTCTGATCCTGTCGTCAGTCATACGAACTCCGCACGGTGCAACGCCGTCGTCGTCACCGTCACCTTTGTTATCATCATCGTTACATCTGTTCCGATCGCAAAGTCCTTACCCCGTGGTGTTCTATCGTGTCCTGCCAGCATCGCGCATCCCTTTCTCTCTCTCTCTCTCTCTCTCTCTCTTTCTTTCTATCTTCTCTTTCTCTCTTTTTCTCTCTCTCTCTCATTCTTTCTCTTTCCCTATCTCTCTTTCTCAGTCTTTTCTTCGTTGAGTCGACGATCGAACGAATCGCGCGTCGTCCGCGTCCCGATGAGAGCCAGCGCGACGCGTCGTGGTGCGACGACACCCGGTAAGATCGCCCTCGCGAGAGACGCGGCCTGACTTCCTAGTGCGGGGGGGGGAGGGTGGGTTGTTGCTAACAGGCGTTACTCGCGTCGCTGACGTACGGGGGTGCGCGGCCACGAAAGAGCGACGCAGGAGGTGCGAATTGCCGACGGTACGGGAGAGCGGCGATACGAGTTACCCGGGAATTAGTGACGAACGGTGGGACATCCTTCGCCGGGCAACAGCGGCCAGGAGGATCGAGGTGAAGAGGTGGGAGCCATGCCGCCCGGGCGAGCTTCCCTCGAGGCAGCCAGCAGGATCGTCCAGCTACTGTCTTCCTGTCCTATGCGGCTGCCTGCTCGTGCTCGCTCTTGCTGAGAGGTAAGGAGCCCGCGGGATCCCTGGACTCCGACAGGACGAATAATGCGATTATTGATGGCGTTCGAAATCGCGAGCGGCTCTCTTCGTCCCGCTCGAGAGAGATCGAGAGCGCGACTTCTGAACGGACGCAGGTCGTACTACGTGAATGGAGTAAGCATTCGCAACAGTATCGGCTTATTCGAATGTGAAGGATTCGATGGGGACTCGTGATTGAGAATGGCGTTTTCGAAATCGTAAGTACAGTTTTGGAGATTTCTTTTATAATTCCCGTTTCGCGCGCGCGTCTCTATTATCTTTCGAATGAGGCTTTCACTTCGCGGCAGCGCAATATTTATTAACGATACAAATTAGATTTCTTTGTAAGTACAAATAAGAAATTTCCATTTGTTGATAATATGAACATCTATCGAGAGCTTATATTCCCGTTATAGCATATGCACTCCTCTTGTCTCTCTACGGCGAAGAAAAACAAAATTCTTTCTTCCGGCCTCTTCTGTACTACGCCATCTTATCCATTCGCGCTATAAAACGTTGTAAAATCTATTTAATAATTAACCAAGCCTCGTTGATCCGTAATTGTGATTACTTGCGAAAGAACTCCGGAACGTGAGTTTCCGGGCTGCGGATTCCGCGCGGCTGCTGATTGGAAGACGCTCGGCGCTCCTCGCTGTAATAAAAGTCAAGAGGATTACTTTGAAACTTAGTCCCAACGACGCTTCTCTCAGAAATCGTTTGATGAATTACGTTTTCCCAGGATACTTCCATCTGATTACGCAAAGCGATCGTAAAGTCGATAGACTCTTCAATCCGATCCCTTTCTGCTGCAAAATTTCTTCGCGATCCTCACAAAACCCCGTCCGGATTTGATCTCGTTTTCATAAATCGCACCTGATCATTTCATACGGAGCTACGTCGGATTATGTCAATGGTACGCACAGTTCTCCGACTTGTATTATAGCCGAGCCAACGGTGGCATGTCCTTGGAGGATAACCGTTCGTCGGTTCGGCGACAACGATCGGCTCTCCGCTGCTTTGCGACATAAACGCCACAATTCGATTGCCTTCTCGGATAACTGTCTCCCGCATGAAATGCACGAATGTATTCGATGACCTGGTATCGCAAGCATAACGTGATTCAATCCCCTTCGCGTAGGATCATCGTCAAGTAGTCTTGTCTCTCTCTACTACCGCAAGAATTCAAATCGCAGAAATTTGAATAAACGAGTGCATTCCTGCGTGAAAGATCCGCAGAGAATTGGAAAGGAAAAGAAAATAATTTTATAATAACATAAATGTCTGGTAAACTGATATTCCATCAAGCAGTAACTGTGCGTTAAATCCGCTAGTAATACTTCGAGAAATTTTGCTCCTTTCTATATCATTTTCTATAAAAAAAAAAAAATTTCCGATGCAGTGCAAAAATATTCTGAAAATACCACTATGTAGGTTTTCATTTGTTCATCCGAGAATCTCTTAAATGCTGGAAATCTTCCTCTCGATATTGGGATTTCGGAATCCTTTCGATTTTGTTTTTCAGCCCTGGGCACTTACGCGACGTTCCGGCGGCTACGAGCGCCGCATTAATTACTGGAAATCCAAGCATGAATCATGATGAAACGCACAATGCGAGCGTTGACGTGGACGTCAACCGTCCCGTTATTATCGTGTGCTCCAGGAATTTTGGCCGGTACACCGTGCGGTCCCGCTGTCGATGAATCCCGGCCGACAGAATAGACGAGCGTGTTACAAGCGTGTTCATACGGTCCGGTATCTCCGGTATCGTGAGGAACGATCGTGTTAATTAAAGCTTGCCCAAACACGTATCACATTTTATCGAGAGCGAAATGAAGATCCACGAAATACGTCGTTGTGAAACTCTATATCGAGGATTTATCATCGCTGTTAAGAGGGCATGACAATATTTTAGGAAAACCACATGTATTGGGAGAACCTTATATATATAATATTATATTCTATTATATATATTATACATATAAGGAATACGATATATACATGTAATATAAAAAAGAGTTATAATATTATTGGATTGATATGTCTATAATAGTATTTAATTGATATGTCTTCGACATATCAAAATACTTTTCCCATATCACATTTCGTCACATGCGCTCTAAGCTTTTCCATCTCGAGTATATGTAATCATATCTCTCTTGCACATTTACGAGTGATATTTGCCGAGACGAGACGCGTTTAAGACTGATCCCCTGATGCTGAAGGAGAATGGGAGAGTCGTTGGAACGTGTGACTCCCCCAGGAGATAGGCGCCGGTAGGCTCGTTTTATTCTTCCCACATCCATTTAAGATGATGTAAAGCAAGACGACGACGCTCGTAAAAACCACGCCGGCCGTTTGCGCCTCGGGAACAACAGCCTTGGAATTGCGATGATCGCCGTCGCGTGACGATCGCGTGAAACTTTATCGCGCATTTTTGCATTAATACTCATCCACGTCGATTCGCGCCCTCCCCGAATATTTTAGCATTCGATCCTACTTGAATGTCTGCTCTATCCCGCCTGCATCCATAATCGAAACGAACTAAATTACAATTCGCATCCGGATTTATTGACATTCGTTCCAAGATATGAATACGGACGTTGGGATCGGGGGAGGAGGTGTTCATTCTCGGGGGAGCGTATCAAACTGGCATTCGTTACTGCCCGATAACCACGTTATCGACACCCGTACGTACCTAATTAAACTAGCCGATCCTGTCTCTGAATTATGGCCGGCGCCTTACGCTGGGAAATTCCCGGCTAATCGAGTGACACGAGTTTTCAACTTCGGTAACCGCGCGCAGCTGACAAAGTTACTCTCGTATCGGACATCGAATCGGAATGTCGGATTCCGACACTGCCGCCGCGCGCCGTGCGAGCCATAATTTCTCTTCGCGGCACACTAATTTCCTTTAACAAAATCGTTTTCGCGAGCTCGACCGGTTTCTAACGGTAACGTACGGACAGTCATTTCCGGTCTGCACATCTGTTAATTTCCCGTCGTAAGCTTCCTGTGACTTCCAATTTTGTAACTTTGTCCGCGGAGGATGGTGCAAAAATAAGCCAATTATCTATTTACGTCCAGCAATTATCCGTTCGCGTTTGTCATCAATGTGGATTTCTTAAAAAAAAAGTCGCTACAGTTAAAGACGATCGCACAATTGGTATTACAAAAATATCTCGGTACACCGAGAAAATTAATTTTACACGCAAACTACAGCGACTTGGCGACACAGAACAACCACGCATTCGTCCCCAGGCGTAGGTATCGCGAGCGCCGAGGAAGAGGAAATCATTAATTTCAATTTCGCGAGACAGTGTCCTCGATGTTTAGCGATTTAGCCTCGCATTAGCCGCTACTTCAAGTAGGCCAATAGGCCAAATTAGAATTTGAGTGAGTTAACGGGCGCCTCAAGAGACGGAAGAAATTCTGTCTCCGTCGTCGAGTGAACGCGCAAAGTTTTTCCTCTCCTAATTTTAAATTCTCCGTGGGACGTGGACTTCCTAGGAGAAACCGCCGGTGAATTAGGACGCCATCCGGGAATACCTAACGAAGCGCGCGCGCGCGTTTGCGGGCACGTACTCGTCGCGTAAATCGCAAAACAATAATAATAACTCCGCTTGTGGAGAACGGTGAAAATCGTAGAAATCCGGCACCCGGACGAGAAAACACACACGATCGATCCGATCAGATTTTTTCGCCCCTTTGAATTAGGAATTGACGAAGTTTCCGGTCGTTACAATTTCATGTTATTACGTCTTCTACGTGGAATCGCGTGTCCCACAAACTTTTTGCAACTGAATGAAAAATTTAGTATTAAGAAAAATTTAGGATATTATTCTCGCGGCGAAATCCATGCTTGTTTTGATAGCCCAACGTAATCTCGACAGACTTTGATTCCTCTTGCCGTATCCGATATAATTTTAGCTCGCATTCCGATCTCTCGAGCATCCGCTTTCCTTTCCCTTCTCCTCTTTTTGTATTATTTTTATTATCAGCGGGCGGTTTTCGTATCCGATATATCGGATGGTGCTAGGATCCCCCAGCAACAGGGCTATCGATAACAGGGGAAACGGATATTTCCGCATCTTCGAGCACGAACGAAACAGTAGTAGATCAGGAAGGGAGAGATGTGAGAAAATAATAGTTCAGTCCGCGATGCCTGAATAAAGCGACGCCACTCGAAAATCATCCCGATGGCGATCGATCATGCCCAATTAATCAACGTCAAAGCCGTAATAATGCAGTTTAATTATCGATGATTTACTACAAATTGCCGCGGTGTATTTTATATATATATATATATATATATATATATATATATACACATACATACACACATGTCTTTTAGTTCAAACACACTTAAAATAACACCGATGACGCGCCATTATCGTCGGCCGCGCCGTTTCGACGAAACGAAAGCCGGGTATTCGCGACAATTCTGTTTAATTGGCGATAAAGTATCGACGCGCGAGACTCCGTCGTTTATCACGACGGTTCCGATGAGCATCAGAACTCGCTCTTCGACCAAAGGATGATTTATTAGCGTCCGATTGTTATTCACCCGGATCATTGTTTCCTGAGCTCCGACGAATTATTGTCACCACGTCGCACACACCTTTGCGCGTCGCGGTGCTTTTTTTTCTCTTCCACGTGACTGTCTCATTATACCGAATTATTACATTATACGTTTGTAATCCCTTTTGTAGAACGATACAAACGCTCTCTCTCTCTCTCTCTCTCTCTCTTTTTCTCTTTCTTTCTCTCTCCCAACTGTGCAAGCCGCGATCGGGGCATCGTGCGATAAATCCACGAAGCGTACTCGCGCATTAAGCTAGAATTAATTCGCGTACTAAAAGGAATTAATCTCCGTTCCATTATCTCTGTTGTAATGTAGAGAAGTGCCGCGAAGAGGCGTGGCATTTTGTGTGCTTCCGCGGTACCGGTGTATCCGTGCGCCGCGACGCGAAAGCTCCTGTCCGTCAAGTACATTTGTGCATGCACGCGTGCAACGTTTAATTCGCAAAATGAGAATTAAAATTGCTTCCATCGTTGTCGTGTGCGCAGACAAATCGGAACGCAATTATGCGAAAAATCGAGCGTCGCCTGGAGCGCCGCGTTTTTCGCCGAGCAATCAAACGTCTCTTATAGGTTAATAAATCAATTAATAAAATTAATTAACGTAACATTAAGATTAATTAGTAATAAAATTAATTAA